AGATTATAATGACTGACGCTGTCTACACTGATACAGTATACAGATGTGTGTTCAGATTATAATGACTGACGCTGTCTACACTGATACAGTATACAGATGTGTGTTCAGATTATAATGACTGATGCTGTCTACACTGATACAGTATACAGATGTGTGTTCAGATTATAATGACTGATGCTGTCTACACTGATACAGTATACAGATGTGTGTTCAGATTATAATGACTGACGCTGTCTACACTGATACAGTATACAGATGTGCGTTCAGATTATAATGACTGACGCTGATACACTGATACAGTATACAGATGTGTGTTCAGATTATAATGACTGACGCTGTCTACACTGATACAGTATACAGATGTGTGTTCAGATTATAATGACTGACGCTGTCTACACTGATACAGTATACAGATGTGTGTTCAGATTATAATGACTGACGCTGTCTACACTGATACAGTATACAGATGTGTGTTCAGATTATAATGACTGACGCTGATACACTGATACAGTATACAGATGTCTGTTCAGATTATAATGACTGACGCTGATACACTGATACAGTATACAGATGTGTGTTCAGATTATAATGACTGACGCTGATACACTGATACAGTATACAGATGTGTGTTCAGATTATAATGACTGACGCTGATACACTGATACAGTATACAGATGTGTGTTCAGATTATAATGACTGACGCTGTCTACACTGATACAGTATACAGATGTGTGTTCAGATTATAATGACTGACGCTGTCTACACTGATACAGTATACAGATGTGTGTTCAGATTATAATGACTGATGCTGTCTACACTGATACAGTATACAGATGTGTGTTCAGATTATAATGACTGATGCTGTCTACACTGATACAGTATACAGATGTGTGTTCAGATTATAATGACTGATGCTGTCTACACTGATACAGTATACAGATGTGTGTTCAGATTATAATGACTGATGCGGTCTACACTGATACAGTATACAGATGTGTGTTCAGATTATAATGACTGATGCTGTCTACACTGATACAGTATACAGATGTGTGTTCAGATTATAATGACTGATGCGGTCTACACTGATACAGTATACAGATGTGTGTTCAGATTATAATGACTGACGCGGTCTACACTGATACAGTATACAGATGTGTGTTCAGATTATAATGACTGACGCTGTCTACACTGATACAGTATACAGATGTGTGTTCAGATTATAATGACTGACGCTGTCTACAGTGATACAGTATACAGATGTGTGTTCAGATTATAATGACTGATGCTGTCTACACTGATACAGTATACAGATGTGTGTTCAGATTATAATGACTGATGCTGTCTACACTGATACAGTATACAGATGTGTGTTCAGATTATAATGACTGACGCTGTCTACACTGATACAGTATACAGATGTGCGTTCAGATTATAATGACTGACGCTGATACACTGATACAGTATACAGATGTGTGTTCAGATTATAATGACTGAGTCTGTCTACACTGATACAGTATACAGATGTGTGTTCAGATTATAATGACTGAGTCTGTCTACACTGGTACAGTATACAGATGTGTGTTCAGATTATAATGACTGACGCTGTCTACACTGATACAGTATACAGATGTGTGTTCAGATTATAATGACTGACGCTGTCTACACTGATACAGTATACAGATGTGTGTTCAGATTATAATGACTGACGCTGTCTACACTGATACAGTATACAGATGTGTGTTCAGATTATAATGACTGATGCTGTCTACACTGATACAGTATACAGATGTGTGTTCAGATTATAATGACTGACGCTGTCTACACTGATACAGTATACAGATGTGTGTTCAGATTATAATGACTGATGCTGTCTACACTGATACAGTATACAGATGTGTGTTCAGATTATAATGACTATAAAGAACTTTCGTCTTGTTTAAATAGCTGGTTTGAGTCTCTACAGACTTACAGAAGATCCCAGAGTCAATCCAGAGTGGATGGTTTATTCTAATGGCGTCCCAGATCGTGTCGGAGGATTATATGTTTGTTCGGAACATTTGACTGCAGATTGTTTTGCAATGGAGAGTTCACAAAGAAACATTTGTTGAAAGATGAAGCAGCGACTGTATTTGACCTGACAGCAGCTGTATCACAAACCCTGAGTAAATGATTTCATAATGCTGTCTGTAAATGACGGTTTTATATGGATAATGCTTTCAATAGTGAGTCGACGTTGATACTATTTCCTCTGCGATGACGTTAGCCAATCTTAACAGTGGCATTTACTGACAAGCCTTAAAGGAGCCGCGCCTTAAAAACTGATCATTTCAGACTGAGGCTCAGAATGAGTGTTAAAAATAATAGTTTTCCCACATATACATTTATTTTCTGTGCAATTAGACTTAAATAACATAATAAGTGAACGTCAAGGAACATATTAAAATAAGAAATAAATCCATGTCATGACCCCTATAACTTATGGGATCCATTTCTGTTGCATTGAATTAAAAATATAAAATGGCAAATTATTGCACTGACATAATGTGATTTGTCTTTTTATTCTATCAAGCTTTTTATCTAAAAAAAATTTTAAGTGACTGTTTTTTTCTTTACAGATTGTGACTGACACCTCAGATCTATTAATATCTTCATGTATGAATGTTCATACATTGGTTATACAGTAATAAACGTTGTTTTAAACAGTGTTTATGTAATGTGAATGGTGGAGCTGCCACAGAAAGTTCTTCACGATCAGGGATGTGTTTCCCGTACAACGCCGTAACTCGATGCTTCACTATCACAGTACGATGCATCGTTGAAGAAATCAATTAGCGAGTCACGACTGTTTCCCGAAACCATAATGTCGCAAAGTAGTCGTTCAACCACGTTGGTTTATGACGTCACGCACGTGGTGGAGTAATAACTTATTTTAATGAAACTGTTTGAGATGGAATTAATGCGAGATGTTTTGATATAAATTACAGACATGCATCTGAGGAATATTTCTCATTTTTCTCAGTTATTTCGCTTTATTTCCAGATTTAATCATAGGCTCAAACCGAATGATTCTCTCGATAAAGACTATGAGATTTGTACTACAGGTGAAACTCGAAAAATTTGAATATCGTGCAAAAGTTCATTTATTTCAGTAATTCAACTTAAAAGGTGAAACTAATATATTATATAGACTCATTACATGCAAAGTGAGATATTTCAAGCCTTTATTTGTTATAATTTTGATAATTATGTCTTACAGATATGAAAACCTTTTCCCAATATTCTAATTTTGAATTTGGTGTTTTCAGAAGCTGTAATCCATAATCATCAAAATTATAACAAATAAAGGCTTGAAATATCTCACTTTGCATGTAATGAGTCTATATAATATATTAGTTTAGATTTTGGATATTACCTCCATGTTAAGATATTGGCCCGCCTTGATGCATTTAAATCTCATTTAAAGACTCATCTCTTCTCTCTTGCATTTGATTGTAATTCATTTTTGTAATTGTTTTATACTTTGTTTATTAATCTTAGATTGTATGTGCTGGGCTGTCTGTAAAGCACTTTGGCCAACTGATAACGACGGAACTTGCGACCATATTTGGCTAACGATGCTTTCGGGAAACGCACCCCAGGTCAATAAACATCAGTAACTAGAACTAAATGGGATAATATTCCACTGGCAAAATTAAATTAAAATGCACAAATCTAGTTAATTTTGCTGTGTTATTATGTGGCTCTCTGAGAGCATCAGTGCCTCACACACGACCTCCGTCAGCAGCAAGAGTTGCTGAATCATGCCGTGTAAGACTTAGAAACACACACACACACACAACCAAAAATATTCCCCCTCCAGATTTAATAGAGTCCAAAAACACTGGCACTCAAGTCAGTGCAACACGAGCCTGTCGCTCGATGCGTTTATTTATTTCAGTGTTGATATAATGTCGTGATGTGAGGGCTGCCAATTCTGAGCAATGCTAATGTTGATTAAAACCTGTCAATCACCAATATATCCTTCGAAACAGACTTTAGCCAAATAATATAATGTGGCATCGTCCTTCTCAATATTTACAATGCATCACACTGAAAAGCTTAAGATAATTATGCCTGTTTTCTGAATTTGTGCTCCATGATGAGACATTTTACATTAACTAAAACACCACCATGATGCTTGAATGTTGTGGGTGGTTGCTAGGGCGTTGCTAAGAGATGTTCTAGGTTGCTAGGGTGTCACGTCTCTGATCGTCTGGATATCTAGATGTGACTCGAGTCCTTTAATGTGTATCTGTAGGGGTTTTTTTCCATCTGTTTTCTGGTCCAGCAGGTGAAAATGGTGCATCTGAACACTTAGTAGTAGATTTGGGGGAATCGTTCATGTCTGGAGCACAAACACGCTTTAAGAGGTTTAATTAGCTCGCAAACACTACTAATGAGGATTTTGTTGTTGTTGTTGTTGCATGCATGAAATCAAATGTTTTCTGTTTTTATATTGAAACAATGCCATGCAACATTAGAGAACGTCTCCATAATAAAAGGGCCGATAATTGTTATGTTTAATTGCTTATGCATAATCTCAGCTCATTATGATCTGCCTTGTGCAGGTTGAATCTCCAGCAACACAAAGGTGAATCTGCATCAGCATCCATCTTTCACACAGTATTTCTATTATGGCTTCTGAGCTTGTGCATTATTATTATTATCATCATCATCACAGATTTCACTAATGATGATGATGCACTAATGCATATTGAAGAATACACTATAAATTACTATTGAGGGGGATTATGTAACTAGATTTAGATGTGTTGTTGTGAAAATGGCTGGTGATTTTATGATCCTCCATCATGCCTCAATAACACTTAAAGGTTATCATCATCACAATGACCTTTGCATATCATTGATGCATGACTGAGCTGGAATATAAGATTGATACTGCTTTATTATTGTATGTTATTAGGTGTTGCATATATGATTATAATGCATGAACGACTTACTTCCCCACGAAGTTCTCGAGCACGGAGCTCTTCCCGGCGCTTTGTCCGCCCACCACCGCGATCTGCGGCAGGTCCAGCTCCGCGTTCTGCCCGATGGCGGAGAACGCATCTTGCATTCGGTTGACCAGAGGAATCAGATCCTCCATCCCCCGGTTCCCCATCGCGATGACCGGCAATGAATGAATATGTGTTTTAAGTGAATTTCGGCATTGATTTATTCCGTCTCTCTCTCTTTCTCTCTCTCACGATCACGCTTTCAGGACGGGTCTTATTTCGGCATTGAGTTAGTCTGTCTCTCTCTCTCTTTATCTCTCTCTGTGTGCGTGTGTGTGTGAGAGTGTGTGTGTGTCTGCAGTCCTTCTGAGATGATGATGAGCTGCTTTTCTCTCAGTGAGCGCGCGCGCGGGCACGAGCTGCAGCACCGTGTTCTCTCAGTAGTGGGCGCGCTTGTTAAAGTCAAAACTATTTTAATGTGATTTCACTCCTGTGATGGATCTATCTATCTATCTATCTATCTATCTATCTATCTATCTATCTATCTATCTATCTATCTATCTATCTATCTATCTATCTTTGTCTGTCTATCTATCCATCTATCTATCTATCTATTTTTCCATATATCATCTATCTATCCATCTATCTATCTATCTATCTATCAATCTATCTATATGTCTGTCTATCTATCTATCTATCTATCTATCCATCTATTTTTCCATCTATCATCTATCTATCTATCTATCTATCTATCTATCTATCTTTGTCTGTCTGTCTATCTATCTATCTATCTATCTATCTATCTATCTTTGTCTGTCTATCTATCCATCTATCTATCTATCTATTTTTCCATATATCATCTATCTATCCATCTATCTATCTATCTATCTATCAATCTATCTATATGTCTGTCTATCTATCTATCTATCTATCTATCTATCTATCTATCTATCCATCTATTTTTCCATCTATCATCTATCTATCTATCTATCTATCTATCTATCTTTGTCTGTCTATCTATCTATCTTTGTCTGTCTATCTATCATCTATCTATCTATCTATCTATATGTCTGTCTATCTATCTATCTATCTATCTATATGTCTGTCTATCTATCTATCTATCTATATCCTTGTCTGTCTATCTATCCATCTATCTATCTATCTATCCATCTATCATCTATCTATATATCTATCTATCTTTGTCTGTCTATCTATCTATCTATCTTTGTCTGTCTATCTATCATCTATCTATCTATCTATCTATCTATCTATCTATATGTCTGTCTATCTATCTATCTATCTATCTATCTATATGTCTGTCTATCTATCTATCTATCTATATCCTTGTCTGTCTATCTATCCATCTATCTATCTATCTATCCATCTATTTTTCCATCTATCATCTATCTATCCATCTATCTATATGTCTGTCTATCTATCTATCTATCCATCTATTTATCCATCTATCATCTATCTATCTATCTATCTATCTTTGTCTGTCTATCTATCTATCTATCTATCTATCTATCTATCTATCTATCTATCTATCTATATGTCTGTCCGTCCGTCCGTCCATCCATCCATCCGTCTGTCTGTCTGTCTGTCTGTCTCTTATTCCCTGAAAAACACTTTGCTGTGTAAACATGCACAAACTTCAATCCACATACACCCAATAAATAAAGAAACCCATACAACTAACCAATTTAGTTTATAAAGTAAACAAGTAAAATGAACAAAATGTTCTCCAGACTGGTGCAATAATCCTTAGTCTCCTGAAGAAAAAGAATCAAATGAGTCTTGGGAACATGTCTGAATGTGCAGGTGCTTCAGTGTAATGCGCCGTGTCTCCTCCAGTCCTGCAGGGGTCGCTGTGTGGCGCGCTGCCGTCACTGTCGCTCTGAGACCGGTGTGCGAGTGTTAGCACGGCGCTAATGTGACATAGGAACTTTCAACAGGCGTTCGCTCATTTCTCCTCAATTAAACTCATATTCCCTGCAGCAAAATTGGTGAGTACTAGCTTTAATTCTGCAGATAAGTGGACACCAAGGTTAAAAATACCAATATTACGAGAGAGGCTTGTGGGTGGTCGCTGATGTTGTCGTGTTTCTGACAGCTAGCGCTTTAGCATATAGCACACAGATAAAGATTATGGCTGTGTCCCTAAACCCCGGTGAGTCACCTATCTAGACAACATCTTAAGGCATAATTGCAATTGTTTGATTCCCTGAAATGCATCTGTATGCTCTTGAGATGCTCTAAAGCTGCTGTCTGTGTAGGGAGCGAGGGTTTGAGACACTGCCAGACTGTCGAGCTGTTATTGTTTTTGTCTTGATTCATTGTTTGTTTGTTTGTTTGTTCGCTCATTCGTCACTCGTCTGGTTTAGATGCCACAGAATCCCAAATATGATCCTCATGTCCATCCCAACATTTACAATGCAGCTATCTTTTATAAATGCCCACATTATACGCTGACAAATTCATGTTATAAATCTAAAACTAGCTTTAAGTTACGTTGTTATATTGTTCTACTTACTATTGTAATGTACTGTTAAATGTATTATTTATTTATATTAATTTTATTTATCGTAATTTATTTAAAATCTGATTAAATTCATTTAATAGCCTAATAACTAACTAGCCTAATATTTTCATTCCTTAATTTATTTTAATCTATTTAATAACTAATATTTGTATTTTAATCACATTTGTGTTAACTTATTTATTTTAATCTAATTTATTGACTAATATTTATTTATTGACTAATTCTTATTTATTTTTACATTTTCTTAACCGCTTTCCTCTAAATGTTTCCACGGACTCCCTTGCGTCCATTTTATAATTATATATAATATATATTATTTTATATTTTGCCTTTAAGGGCTTACTCTTTTACATCATATACTAAACATTTCTTTTTCAAAGTTACTTGACTCTTGCCTTTTCAATACAAGATATTGTATCCAAAATGTATATAATGTTATTTCCATCAAGAGGAGCATAATTTCTGGTGCTTAGGGATGCACTGATACTAACATTTCGTCTGATACCGATAACCAATAATTCTTTATATTTGATACCTGATATATAAGCTGAAGTGAAATCTAAAGTTTTTATATCCTTTTTGAGAGCCTGATTATAAAAACAAAAATCTCACCATTAAAATCCAAGTCTCAAGCACACAATTATGATGATGTTCTCATTATAGTTTTATGTAGTTTTATGTATAGTTTTATATAGTTTTCTGTAGATATGACAGATTTGTGTTGCCCTGTATATGAACTGTATTTCTTGTTTGAAGTGATTCCAATCATATTTCAAGCAATTCAAAGCCATCATGTTGAACAGTGCGCATCTGAAGGAAATAATACATTATATTTATCGGTCACATTTCTTATCAGGCCAATAACAATTAAATCACAAAGGAACATATATGGGCCGATATATATGCCTATTTTTTTAATGATTTTAAGGTCGGTATTCATGTGTGAAAATGATTCTTCATGCTCCTCACAACTATTCTTTCATAATCTGAGCCTGATGAATCTTGACATTGTCCTCCTGGAATACAGCCATGATGTTTCTTCCTACATGGTTGTTTAAGAAATGAAAAGCTACACACTTCATCAGTTAGGGTTAGAAGAACTGCTGCCAAACATATAACATGCTAGAAACATAATAATCACTGCAATAAGGATCAAATAATAAACTCTTAAGCATTTGCCTATTTTAATCCAAACCGCAGATTTTTTTTTTGGCAGGGCAGTGTGTGTGTGTGTATATATATTATATATATATATATATATATATATATATATATATATATATATATATATATATATATATATATACTGGTAATATATATATATATATATATATATATATATATATATATATATATATATATACTGGTGCTGGGCAACGATTAATCGCAACCAAAATAAAAAAAAAACTGTTTACATAATATATATGTGTGTGTGTGTATAATTATTTTGTATATAAGTAAAAACATGCATGTATTTATTTAAGAAATATGTGCATGTATATACTGTATAATATATTTATGCATAATTTGTATTATATATAAATATACAATTTTCTTTTAAAATTATACATGCATATGTGAATATTTATATATACATAATAATTATACACAGCACACACATATTTTATGTAAACACAAACTTTTATATTGGATGAGAATAATCACGATTAATCGTTGCCCAGCACCAGTATATATATATATACACACACACACTCACACACACACACGTCTTCTTTTATGATTGGATGATGTCTTCTTTTTTGAAATAAGTAAATAAGCCGGTATGTTAAATAATGTACAGTGTCACAGTCTTAACATAGTGGCAGTTTACACAACTGGTTGTTTCAATAAACTAGTTTTAATAAAAGATTGGGTGGAAAAATTCAGAGACAGATTTTATACAATTTTTATGATTCAATATGAGATGTTCAGAATCGGATCATGTCATATTGCAGTTTTAATCGTAATTGCAATTTGTCGAAATAATACTACTGCATTAATAGGGATGCACCGATATGAACATTTTGACCGATAACTAGGGATGCACGATACTTTCAAACTAATTTTGCCCGATACCGATATATTTGTATTTTTATATACCGACAAGTGCGAAAAAAGCTTATTAAAGCTTCTATTAAAGTTCTCAGTCAAGAGCAGTGAGTGATTTCCTCTTTGTGTTTTGTTGTTTTATTAACATTAAAGGGATAGTTCTCCCAAACATTTGAATTGTCATCATTTACTCTCAAGTTGTTTTAACCCCAAATAAATTTCTTTCTTCTGTTGAAAATAAAAGTTATTTGGAAGAATGTGAGACGCACACCCCTAGTTGGAAGTTTAAGTTCGTTCACGGTCGTCACGTGCGCATAAGAAAACACGCCACCCTATCGGCAAGGCTCTTTGGCAGTAATATTCATATCGGCCGATGATAGTCATTTTAAGCTTTTATCGGCCGATACCGATGTTGTCCCGATATCATCGTGCATCCCTACCGATAACCGATAATTCTTTATATTTTAAAGCCGATAACCGATATATTGGCCGATAAAACTAAATCCGAATTTTTATATAGTTTTTGAGAGCCTGATTACAAAAACAAAAGTCTCACCATTAAAATCTGTGTCTCAATCACACAATTATATATAATGTTCTCATTATAATTTTTTGTAGCCGATATGACAGACTTGCGCTGAACTGTATTTTCCTTTTTTGAAGTGATTTCAAGCAAATTTCAAGCAATTTAAACCCATCATGTTGAACAGTGCGCATCTGAAGCGTCTCAGCTGAAGGAAATAATACATTATTTATCGGCTTTAATATATCGGCCATATTTTCTTTCCTTTCTTTTGTATTTGAGCCAAACGATAACATTAAAAATGAACATATACCGGCCGATACCGATATGTTGGCCGATATATCGTGCATCTCTCTGTGACCTAATGCTCATAGGAGCGATGGTGAAGAGGCGTATATGCAGTGACTCATCTCTGTTCCCCCAGACTGAAGTGGTGGACCGTACAGACGCCAGGAGAATGTTTAACCCTCATCAGCACCAGCAGCAGCAGCAGCAGCAGCAACAGCACCAGTTCCAGCAGCATCTGCGTCAGCTCCAACAGCTGTTCCAGCATCAGACGCCTCCTCCTCCTCCTCCACCTCCTCCTCCTCCTCAGCCTCCGCCCGCACACCACATCACACACCACCACCAGACGGCACGGTGCGCTTCACCAATGCTCCACACATCCCATAGTCTCGATAATTCGATCACATTTATTTATATAGCACATTTAAAAACAACACAAGTGCTTTACATACAGCCCAGCACATACAGTCTAAGATTATTAAACAATTACAAAAATTAATCACAATCAAAATGCAAGAGAGATGAGTCTTTAAATGAGATTTAAATGAATCAAGGCTGGTCAAGATGCGATTAATCGCCGCCCATCCCATTGTTAGTTCATGTTAACTAATGAACCTTATTTTCTTATAATGCTTCTTTTACATTGAGCTGAGACACATGCATGAGTTTATGTGTTGTGTGTGTGTTGTCATCAAACAGGTCTATGGCTCCAGCGCCCCCGTCTGCTCGTATGGTGAACCTCTGCTCCGCCACTCAGACCATCATCGGACACAACCCCATGCTGCAAGGGGCTCTGCTCATGCAACAGATGCAGGGTAAACTGAGCCACACGCTTTATCGTCTCATCCTAATATAGCAGGCACTATATTAAGACACATGTAGTCCCTTAAATCCCGGAGAGACCAGTGTTCCTCCTAAACTGCATGCGTTCGTGGACGTGCAGAATCAAACAAGCTGTGAGAGATGTGCAGCGTGGATTCATTCACACACTAGAGCTTTCAAGCTCATATGGAGGCCAGAAATGATCTGGTTACACTTACAATAAGGTTCATTCGTTAATGCATCCATTAACTAACCATGAGCAATACATTTGTTACTGTATATGTTAATCTTTGTTAACGTTAGTTAATAAAAACACAGCTGTTCATGTTAGTTCACAGTGCATTAACTAATGTTAACAAGATTTTAATAATGTATTAGTAAATGTTGAAACTAACATTAATAAATGCTGTATAAGTGCAGTATTAGTTCATGCTAATTAATGTAGTTAACTAATGAACTAATTACCAATGATCTCGACAAAACAAGTTTTGAGTTTTTCTATTCGAATAATATTCCCTTGTTTACTTATTATTAATTATAAAGGTCACGTTTTACCCTAAAATTCAATAAATCCTCTTTTTAGGATTGTTAAAACCGCATTATTTTCATGACAATGGAAAAACATTTCCCCCTAAAAATCTAGTATTTTAGTAAGGCACTCAGACAGTTATTATTATTACATTATTTCCATTAAATTAATGGTGCAGGGTTTTCAAATTCATATTATTATTATAATTCTTGTACATTTTTCTTGTCGAATAATATTCCCTTGATAACTTTTGCATTTTATTGCTCGTCTTTTACTTAATAATATTAATTTATATTTATTATACTTAATAATATTAATTTATATTTATTTCAATATTTCCTAGGTTTTGTGTTAATACATCAAGTTTACACACATGGGTCTAAAATGACCCATCTATGCAAGCGCGATAAAACAAAAGAATAAAGAAAACTTTTTGTTAAAATAGCCAATGTCACAGTTGTTTAGATCAACACATTTACTGTAACACTTGAAATATGTTTATTGGCCACCTTGTCACACATATAACCGATAACACTGAAATTGAACTGTAGTGTAGTGCAACTGTCGGGGGATCTCTCCACCACCAATGTGCAGCATCCACCCGGATGATGCGACAGCAGCCATAGTGCACCTGAACGCCACCACACGGTGGCTTATGTGACTGATAGCATTGATTTATGACCACAAATAAAAATGAATATGGAGGTACAAGGTTTCTGCCCAACAGCGACAATATATACTTGTATATATATAACTTTCTATTGCAACTTTTATTTTGTTGACCTAGCTATTAGATAAAATAGAATATGTCGACCGCAAGCTAGCTAATAGCATTGGACATGTTTCTCTTTTGCACTTGTAATGGATTTCAAGGTCAAGGTAACCTTAGCCTAAACGTTCAAATATTAGGCTATATCTAGATGTCTTTCACAAAATATCAAATATTTTCTGTGACAAAAAATGTATTAAATAAAACTTACATGCATGAAATATACAAAAGCAGCCGTGTTGAATTGTGAAATGTGTGGCAGGTGAATAGTTTTCTGCAGTAAATATATTTAAACTATTTATAAATATCAAAGGTTCCAATATGGGTCATTTTTGACCCATGTGTGTAAAATTGATGTAGAAATACAAAAACCGTGTTTGTTTATAAAGTAAGAAAGGAAAAATAAATATAATGATTTGTGGAAATCAAAAAACAAGATATTTAATGAATACCTGGATTAATAAATGATAAAATAAATTTCTTTCAAATATTCAGCAAAGAAACATGAAATACGGGTCTTTTTAGACCCATGTTGCGCATTAGAAGGGTAGTGACACAAAAACGATTTTTATTCGAAAAGTAAGAAAGGAAAAATTTAAATAAGGATTTGTAATGATCTCAAACAAGTTAATTGAGGAATACCTGGAATACTGAATGATAAAATTAATTTCTTGCAAAGATATAGAAAATGAAAACTCAGCCGGGTCCATTTAGACCCATGTTGTGCATCAAAGGGTTAAAATTAATGCGCTGTCGACATCTTCTATAACGGCTGAACCTACACATCTCCGTTCTCCAGCGGCGGCCATCTTTGTTGTAAACGAACTCAACCCAAGCGCTCTTTGGTGACGTGGATGATTACGTTACTGTTGATCAGTTACTACTACTACTACTACTATACTTGCTTCACAACCGATCAAGTCCAGACCGAACTTCCCGACCTCAGATGTTGTGGGCGGGGCTAAGCTCGGCTGGCATCCAGGGGGCTACCTTTAAGCGACGTATATTAAAAAATCATAACAAAAATAACACCGGTATTCGGGATGAGCACTGGTTTGTGGTGGTGTTGTGTTTGGTGACGTGCTGACTGATTTCTCTTCTGTCTGAAGCTGGAAGCATGCGTGGCTTTGCGATGGGCGGGCAACAGTTCCCTCAGTTCTTCAGCGCCGGATCCAGAGCGTCTCTCCTCGGGCCCGTTCCAATGGGAGTGGCCATCAAAACTCCACACATGGGATTCCCGCGACATTTCAATCCACACGCGCGCTATTTCAGCAATGTAAGTGGGCTAGAGCTGCACGATAGTGACACCTCATCGTGACTCTTTTACAATTTTTTACATTTCATCAGAATTATTGCACTTTCACTTTAGCGCAAATCAAGAGAACATCAATTTGCATTGTTTATCTCATCTAGTTTCCATCTAGTTTATCATATAAATTACCAATCTTTACATTATGAACACTGGAACAACAAAAAGCTACTTTTAAAGGGACAGTTCACCCAAAAATTATCGTTTACTCTGAATATTCTGTCATTATTCACTCGCCCTCATGTTGTTTCAAACCTGATGAGTTTCTTCTGATGAACACAAAAGATATTTTAAAGAATGGCAACATTTACTTCCATAGTATCTTTATTCCATACTATGAGAGTCGATAGGGCTCATCAACTGTTTGGTTATAAACATTATTTAAAATATCTTATTTTATGTTCAACGAAAGTAAGAAACTCGTACAGGCTTGGAAAAACGTGTGAGTAAATGATGAAAAAAACACATTTTTCGATGCTGTCCCATTAAATAAAAAAACTGGGCAGGAACTGTATTTATTTAAGAGAAAACCTTTAAACTCTTAAATCTGGCAACTGCAAGCATGAAAGCTCTGTTACCATAGCCAGATAATGCAAATGTCAAATAAATAAAAACGCTTTTAGGATTAATAACCAGCGGGTAAATATTGCAGATGATTATTAATTGAGAGAACTAATTCATTGATTGAGAATATAATTCTCAATTGATTACACAACTAAAATACCATTTTTAATGCAGTTGCATTAGTGATTATGATTTGAACAAACCCTAAATATTAAACTTCATCACATAAAGAGTTATTTGAGTATACATTTTTTCCATCATCTGTTTGAATGTTACTGAACTGACATGCATGCATCAATTTTTAACAAATAAATTACATATTTGTTAAAATCGTTCTATATTTGGTGAATCTGTCTCTATCTTAACATACTCAGGAGTTTCAGGCACGTCAGCCGGACAGAAAGAGGGAAATTGAGCAGAGACCAGCGGGAAGCAGCAACAGCCAATCAGAAGCCAGGAGCAGCAGCAGTAGCAGAGGTATCTGGAGGACGAGCTCTCTGTCTATTTACTGTCAAAAGTGTTGTGCATGAACGAAATGTATACAGAAATCATGTAATCATCACAAAAAAGGGGTAATATTTGTACAAATTCTACAAAACTAATTAGTATACATTATACTGTTCAAAAAGTGTGGGCTCGGTAAGATTTTATTTATATACTATTATGCATTAAGGACGCATTAAATTGATCAAAAGTAATGCTGTTCTTTTGAACCTTTTATTCATCAAAAAATCCTGAAAAATTTAAATATCACGGTTTCCACAAAAATATGAACTGTTTTCAACATTGATAATAATCATAAATGTTTCTTGATCATCAGATCCTCATATTAGAGTGATTTCTGAAGGATCATGTGACACTGAAGACTGGAGTAATGATGCTAAAAATACAGATTTGATCACAGGAATAAATTACACTTTACTATATATTCACATAGAAAACAGCTGATTTACATTAGAATAATATATCATATTTTTTTACTGTATTCCTGATCAAATAATTGAGCAGAAGAGACCGAAAAAAAAAATGTTCAGCTTCTTTTTATCCAAATTAACAAAAAGTAGACAATACCGAGATATATATTGTATATCACCACTCAGCCCAAAAATACAGAGATTTAAAAAAAATTGTCCATAAACAGCCCTAACGAAAAATATGTTGAGTTTTGAAGGCCAGAAGTCATGTGACCAGTCTCTGATCTGTGCTTTGATTTGAACAGCAGATGAAGTTTCCATCGTCGCCGATCCTTCAGAACCGCCCGATGAACCAGCGGCCAAAAAACACAGAACTGATGCGTCCGTGACTTCAAATCTGTGAGTCGTGAAATCACACTTTACTTTCCAAATACATTTCTTGTCTTATCGAGAATGATTCATCAGTGCACCTCAGTCTTAATCTTTCATCAAGAATATAAGATCATACAGGTTGATTTTGATCCTTTGTTTATATGTATTTTATGTATTTTTATGATGTGGTTTCTGTTTTTGTGCAGGTCAGATTTAGCTCAAAACACTGAATACAAGAGCCCGGATCCTGCAGGTAATCATCATAACTGTGTTGAGGGATATTCTGGGTATTTTCAACATGAATTGGCTGGACATCACTTTTGGCCACTGCTGTATATAGAAATATAAATACATATATATGAATATATACAGGTGAAACTCGAAAAATTAGAATATCTGTATGAAAATATGTATTTTCATACAGCTTATGAAAACCTTTTCACAATATTTTAATTTTGAATTTGGGGTTTTCATAAGCTGTAAACCATAATCATCAAAATTATAACAAATAAAGGCTTGAAATATCTCACTTTGCATGTAATGAGTCTATATAATATATTAGTTTCACTTTTAAGTTGAATTACTGAACTTTTCCACGATATTCTCATTTTTCAAGTTTCACCTGTATAATATTTTAACCTTTTTTTTTTTAATGATACTAAAATCACCAGTAGGTGGAGACAAATCTGTCATTGTGAGATTTGTTAAAAATGTCCGATTCATTCAGAAACGATGCAAGTCACTGTCTTTATGAATGAGTTATTGAATTATTCACTCAATCGATTCGTTCAAAAATGCAGATTCGTTCAGTAACAAACCAGATGTGTGTAGTCTTATCTTGAAAAGAAGCACTCATGAATATTAATCAACATATCATCTATGGCCTGGTGTCAATTACAAAATAATTTCTTTCTAAATTTGTGAAAATGCCATTACAACGGAACGGGGGGAAGGTTACAACTGAACCTATTCTCCAGTAAATAAGTGTTATTTGATAATTCTGCAGAATTATCTAACAGAATGTCCTAACCAGGCGTGACTAGTGTTAGTTTTGTATTATTGAGATTATATTCTATTATAGTTTTGTTAACACTGTGTAATAAACAACATTTTCTGATTGGCCATGATTGTCGTGTTACGCAGCATTTTCTCTTGTCTCTGGAAACCATGTTGTGTTTTTGAGGTGGAAAAGGTTCAACTTCTGATTGTGTTATCAGTGTGTGTGAAATCCTCCTCCTGTGAATGACACGAACGTGTGTGTGATGTGTTTCAGACTGCACACTGCAGGAGGGAGGCAGTGTCGCCGGGCCGGTCGCCGCTGAAGCCGATGAACAGAGTCAAGTGGCCAAGGTTGGTACCATCATCTCTGTGTGGTCCGGGAGGCTCTTTCCATAGAGATAATTATGGAAATGTGTGTCTATATGGATGAAATCAGCACAAATGTGTCTATGCACGAAATCAGCACAAATGTGTGTATATGGACGAAATCAGCACAAATGTGAGTCTATATGGACAAAATCAGCACAAATGTGTCTATATGAACGAAATCAGCACAAATGTGTGTCTATATGAACGAAATCAGCACAAATGTGTGTCTATATGAACGAAATCAGCACAAACGTGTCTATATGGACAAAACCAGCATAAATGTGTGTCTATATGGACGAAATCAGCACAAATGTGTGTCTATATGGACTAAATCAGCACAAATGTGTGTCTATATGGACGAAATCAGCACAAATGTGTGTCTATGGACTAAATCAGCACAAATGTGTGTCTATATGGATGAAATCAGCACAAATGTGTCTATGCACGAAATCAGCACAAATGTGTGTATATGGACGAAATCAGCACAAATGTGAGTCTATATGGACAAAATCAGCACAAATGTGTGTCTATATGACGAATTCAGCACAAATGTGTGTCTATATGAACGAAATCAGCACAAACGTGTGTCTATATGGACAAAACCAGCATAAATGTGTGTCTATATGGACGAAATCAGCACAAATGTGTGTCTATATGGACTAAATCAGCATAAATGTGTGTCTATATGGACGAAATCAGCACAAATGTGTGTCTATATGGACTAAATCAGCACAAATGTGTGTCTATGGACTAAATCAGCACAAATGTGTGTATATGGACGAAATCAGCACAAATGTGTGAATATATGGAAAAAATCAGCACAAATGTGTCTATATGGACGAAATCAGCACAAATGTGTGTCTATATGGACAAAATCTGCACAAATGTGTGTCTATATGGACGAAATCAGCACAAATGTGTGTCTATATGGACTAAATCAGCACAAATGTGTGTCTATATGGACGAAATCAGCAAAATGTGTCTATGGACAATTCCAGCACAAATGTGTGTCTATATGGACGAAATCAGCACAAATGTGTGTCTATATGGACATAATCAGCACAAATGTGTGTCTATATGGACTAAATCAGCACAAATGTGTCTATATGGATGAAATCAGCACAAATGTGTCTATGAAATCAGCACAAATGTGTGAATATATGAAAAAAATTAGCACAAATGTGTCTATATGGACGAAATCAGCACAAATGTGTGAATATATGAAAAAAATCAGCACAAATGTGTGTCTTTATGGACGAAATCAGCACAAATGTGTGTCTATGGACTAAATCAGCACAAATGTGTGTTTATATGGACGAAATCAGCACAAATGTGTGAATATATGGAAAAAATCAGCACAAATGTGTCTATATGGACGAAATCAGCACAAATGTGTGTCTATATGGACTAAATCAGCACAAATGTGTGTCTATATGGACGAAATCAGCACAAATGTGTGTCTATATGGACGAAATCAGCACAAATGTGTGTCTATATGGACGAAATCAGCACAAATGTGTGTCTATATGGACGAAATCAGCACAAATGTGTGAATATATGGAAAAAATCAGCACAAATGTGTGTCTATATGGACGAAATCTGCACAAATGTGTGTCTATATGGACGAAATCAGCACAAATGTGTGTCTATATGGACTAAATCAGCACAAATGTGTGTCTATATGGACGAAATCTGCACAAATGTGTCTATGGACAAATCCAGCACAAATGTGTGTCTATATGGACGAAATCAGCACAAATGTGTGTCTATATGGACATAATCAGCACAAATGTGTGTCTATATGGACTAAATCAGCACAAATGTGTCTATATGGATGAAATCAGCACAAATGTGTCTATATGGATGAAATCAGCACAAATGTGTCTATGAAATCAGCACAAATGTGTGAATATATGAAAAAAATTAGCACAAATGTGTCTATATGGACGAAATCAGCACAAATGTGTCTATATGGACGAAATCAGCACAAATGTGTAAATATATATAAAAAATCAGCACAAATGTGTGTCTTTATGGACGAAATCAGCACAAATGTGTGTCTATGGACTAAATCAGCACAAATGTGTCTATATGGACGAAATCAGCACAAATGTGTGAATATATGGAAAAAATCAGCACAAATGTGTCTATATGGACGAAATCAGCACAAATTTGTGTCTATATGGACTAAATCAGCACAAATGTGTCTATATGGATGAAATCAGCACAAATTTGTGTCTATATGGACGAAATCAGCACAAATGTGTGTCTATATGGACGAAATCAGCACAAATGTGTGTCTATATGGACGAAATCAGCACAAATCTGTGAATATATGGAAAAAATCAGCACAAATGTGTGTCTATATGGACGAAATCTGCACAAATGTGTGTCTATATGGACGAAATCAGCACAACTGTGTGTCTATATGGACGAAATCAGCACAAATGTGTGTTTATATGGACGAAATCAGCACAAATGTGTGTCTATATGGACGAAATCTGCACAAATGTGTGTCTATATGGACGAAATCAGCACAAATGTGTGTCTATATGGACATAATCAGCACAAATGTGTGTCTATATGGACTAAATCAGCACAAATGTGTCTATATGGATGAAATCAGCACAAATGTGTCTATATGGATGAAATCAGCACAAATGTGTGTCTATGGATGAAATCAGCACAAATGTGTCTATATGGATGAAATCAGCACAAATGTGTGTCTATGGATGAAATCAGCACAAATGTGTCTATATGGATGAAATCAGCACAAATGTGTGTCTATGGATGAAATCAGCACAAATGTGTCTATATGGATGAAATCAGCACAAATGTGTGTCTATGGACAAAACCAGCACAAATGTGTGTGAATGAAAGATCAAAAGGATAAACAATGCAGATTTATTTTTTACAGCTAATTTTGGTCATATTTACCAAGGGTGCCATCAATTCTGACCATGACTGTAAATAATGCAATGAGATTAATGCTTTAAATATAAACTTTTGACAAACATATTGAAATATGAAATAATGGAAATTATTTAATAATATTTGGTGATATTTGTTTTGAATGACAGTACAAGCTCAATTAAACCATCAAAATATGAGGAATATATATATATATACATACTGTGTATATATATATACATAAAAAAAAGTTAAAAACAAATTATATATATGTTAAAAAAATGAGGAAAGAACAAAACATTAAAGGTGCTCTAAGCGATGTCATGTGTTTTTTAGGCCAAAACATTTTTTGTCACATACAGCAAACATCTCCTCACTATCCGCTGGCTGCCTGTCCCCTGAACACACTGTAAAGAAACGCGATCTCTGTAGACAGCCCATGCTTCACAAACAGCACCAAAAACAAACTGCAGCGACCCGCTCCCCAAAACATAACAAACTGTTCCAGCCAATGACCGACAAGAAGGGTTTGGGGGTGTGGTTTGGGGGGTGAGTTTGGGTTACTTGTGCGGATGAGGAGGAGGGAGGGTCTAGCTAGCCTCCGTTTTGTTTGACAATAGTTCGAACGTCAACAAGAAGTGACGTCACCCAGGATCGCTTAGAGAACCTTTAAACTAACCTAAATTATTTGGCAAAAAATAAACTACAGCTACAGGTTTTATTTTACTATGCCCAAAAAAATGCATAGAAAACAAAAAGCTTACAGGAAAAAGAATGAATTGACTACAACATAATCAGTAATTAATATTTCACTGGTTCGCCAGTTTTGCATCTGTTCATAATTACTTTGTGATGGAAATTATTTTCCCAAAATTTGGCATGTTTCATTGTGTTATCACAAATAAATGTGATGATGTCAAACACAATTACACGAGTCTGTGTCGTAATGAGTGAGTCATTGAATCATTCATTCAATCGATTTGTTCAAACCGGCCGATTCATTCAGAAACGATGCAAGTCACTGTCTTAATGAATGGGTTATTGAATTATTCACTCAATCGATTCGTTCAAAAATGCAGATTCGTTCAGTAACAAAGCAGATGTGTGTAGTCTTATCTAGAAAAGAAGCACTCATATTTTCATCAGATAATATAAAAATTAGGGATCATATCAGCCAAATCAGTATCGGCCGATATATGTTTATTTTTGATGTTATCGGTCAGATAAGAAAATTTGTCCGATATATTAAAGCCGATAAATAAAGACGCGCATGATAAAACTATCATGAGAACATCATTATAATTGTATGTTTCGACATGGATTTTAATGGTGAAACTTTTCTTTTTGTAATCAGGCTCTTAAAAATGATATAAAAATTTGGGTTTAGATTTATCGGCCGATATATCGGTTATCGGCGTTTAAATATAAAGAATTATCGGTATCGGCCAAAATTTGCATATCGGTGCATCCCTAATAATAATATATTTTCTTGTTTAATATTCCTCAGCAGATCGAACATACAGAAGCTCCTGATAAAGAAGTGGAACAGCAGAACAGTGACGGTCCAGATGACGCCATCGTCTCCGATCCAGTGCCAGAGGTCGAGGAGGTCAAGGAGACTAGCGCTCACGAGGAGGTTAAAGAGACTAGCGCTCACGAGGAGGATAATGACGAAGGGCCGGAGACCTCCAACAAGTTCTTCTGCTACATTTGCAACATCACTTGCCATAACCAGCAAGTATGTAATACGAAGAAGCATTCATGATAATATAAAAAAATCAGCTCATTCTACATATAAGAACAACATAAGAAAAGAGTTGAAATTATTTTCTCTAGTTTTGATGTTAAGTAAAATGACCTATGATGCTTCTTTCCATGTTCATCTTTCTTTAGTGTGTAATGTTGCTGTTTGAGCATGAAAAAGCTTTGCAAAGTTTGTCGTCAAATTTAGCCAATGTTTAGATATCGTGCTGGAAAACAAGACAGAAACACCAAGTAAGAAAATGATTATTACTAGGGATTATTACTATCGTTATCGGCCGATATAAGTTTATTTTTAATGTTATCGTTATCGGCCCGATAAGAATATGTGTCCGATATATTAAAGCCGATAAATAATGTATTATTTCCTTCAGCTGAGACGCTTTAGATGCGCACTGTTCAACATGATGGGTTTGAATTGCTTGAAATATGATTGAAATCACTTCAAAAAAGCAAAATACAGTTCAGTGCAAGTCTGTCATATTAGTTGCATAAAATTATTATGAGAACATCATTATTATTGTGTGATTGGGACATGGATTTTACTGGTGAACTTTTGTTTTTGTGACCAGGCTCTCAAAAACTATATAAAAACTTTAGATTTATCGGCCGATATATCGGTTATCGGCTTTCAAATATAAAGAATTATCGGTTATCGGTATCGGCCAAAATTTTAATATCAGTGCATCCCTAATTACTACTATGCAGGGTGATAGTCCATAGTTGAAATCTTGTGTCTGCAGAATTTCCAGAGCCATATGAACGGACTGACGCACCAGCAGAAGATGATGGAGATCCAGCACATGAGTAACGCGTGTCTCGTCACGCTTCTGCCGCGAGTCCAGGAGTCCCTGCAAGGAGCGCGCAAAGACGGGTGAGGGTTTCATTTACGCTGAACTACAACATCATGTGGAATAAACAAAGCAGTGAATTATTATTGAATTATCAGAGCACCATCTGCTGTTAAAAACTAGCCTGGAGCGCCATCTGGTGTTAAAAACTAGCCTGGAGCGCCACCTGCTGTTAAAAACTAGCCTAGAGCGCCATCTGCTATTAAAAACTAGCCTGGAGCTCCATCTGCTGTTAAAAACTAGCCTGGAGCGCCATCTGGTGTTAAAAACTAGCCTAGAGCGCCATCTGCTGTTAAAAACTAGCCTAGAGCGCCATCTGCTGTTAAAAACTAGCCTGGAGCGCCATCTGCTGTTACAAACTAGCCTAGAGCACCATCTGCTGTTAAAAACTAGCCTGGAGCGCCATCTGCTGTTAAAAACTAGCCTGGACCGCCATCTGCTGTTAAAAACTATCCTGGAGCGCCATCTGCTGTTAAAAACTTGCCTAGCCTAGAGCGCCACCTGCTGTTAAAAACTAGCCTAGCCTAGAGCGCCACCTGCTGTTAAAAACTAGCCTAGAGCGCCATCTGCTGTTAAAAACTAGCCTGGACCGCCATCTGCTGTTAAAAACTAGCCTAGAGCACCATCTGCTGTTAAAAACTAGCCTAGCCTAGAGCGCCATCTGCTGTTAAAAACTAGCCTAGCCTAGAGCGCCATCTGCTGTAAAAACTAGCCTAGAGCGCATCTGCTGTTAAAAACTAGCCTAGAGCGCCATCTGCTGTTAAAAACTAGCCTAGCCTAGAGCACCATCTGCTGTTAAAAACTAGCCTAGAGCGCCATCTGCTGTTAAAAACTAGCCTAGCCTAGAGCGCCACCTGCTGTTAAAAACTAGCCTAGAGCGCCATCTGCTGTTAAAAATTAGCCTAGAGCTGCTGTTAAAAACTATCCTGGAGCGCCATCTGCTGTTAAAAACTTGCCTAGCCTAGAGCGCCACCTGCTGTTAAAAACTAGCCTAGCCTAGAGCGCCATCTGCTGTTAAAAACTAGCCTGGAGCGCCACCTACTGTTAAAAACTTGCGTAGCCTAGAGCGCCATCTGCTGTTAAAAACTAGCCTGGAGCGCCATCTGCTGTTAAAAACTAGCCTGGAGCGCCATCTGCTGTTAAAAACTAGCCTAGAGCGCCATCTGCTGTTAAAAACTAGCCTGGAGCGCCATCTGCTGTTAAAAACTAGCCTAGAGCGCCACCTGCTGTTAAAAACTAGCCTAGCCTAGAGCGCCATCTGCTGTTAAAAACTAGCCTAGCCTAGAGCGCCACCTGCTGTTAAAAACTAGCCTAGCCTAGAGCGCCACCTGCTGTTAAAAACTAGACTAGCCTAGAGCGCCACCTGCTGTTAAAAATTAGCCTGGAGCGCCACCTACTGTTAAAAACTTGCGTAGCCTAGAGCGCCATCTGCTGTTAAAAACTAGCCTGGAGCGCCATCTGCTGTTAAAAACTAGCCTGGAGCGCCATCTGCTGTTAAAAACTAGCCTAGCCTAGAGCGCCATCTGCTGTTAAAAACTAGCCTAGCCTAGAGCGCCATCTGCTGTTAAAAACTAGCCTAGCCTAGAGCGCCACCTGCTGTTAAAAACTAGCCTAGCCTAGAGCGCCATCTGCTGTTAAAAACTAGCCTAGCCTAGAGCGCCACCTGCTATTAAAAACTAGCCTAGCCTAGAGCGCCACCTGCTGTTAAAAACTAGCCTAGCCTAGAGCGCCACCTGCTGTTAAAAACTAGCCTAGCCTAGAGCGCCACCTGCTGTTAAAAACTAGCCTAGCCTAGAGCACCACCTGCTGTTAAAAACTAGCCTGGAGCGCCACCTACTGTTAAAAACTTGCGTAGCCTAGAGCGCCATCTGCTGTTAAAAACTAGCCTGGAGCGCCATCTGCTGTTAAAAACTAGCCTGGAGCGCCATCTGCTGTTAAAAACTAGCCTAGCCTGTAGCGCCATCTGCTTTTAAAAACTAGCCTAGTCTGGAGCGCCATCTGCTGTTAAAAACTAGCCTAGAGCGCCATCTGCTGTTAAAAACTAGCCTAGAGCGCCATCCGCTGTTAAAAACTAGCCTAGCCTAGAGCGCCATCTGCTGTTAAAAACTAGCCTAGCCTAAAGCGCCATCTGCTGTTAAAAACTATAGCCTAGAGCGCCATCTGCTGTTAAAAACTAGCCTAGAGCGCCATCCGCTGTTAAAAACTAGCCTAGCCTAGAGCGCCATCTGCTGTTAAAAACTAGCCTAGCACCATCTGCTGTTAAAAACAATAGCCTAGAGCGCCGTCTGCTTTTAAAAACTAGCCTAGCCTAGAGTGCCACCTGCTGTTAAAAACTAGCCTAGCCTAGAGCGCCACCTGCTGTTAAAAACTAGCCTAGCCTAGAGCGCCACCTGCTGTTAAAAACTAGCCTAGCCTAGAGCGCCACCTGCTGTTAAAAACTAGCCTGGACCGCCACCTACTGCTAAAAACTTGCCTAGCCTAGAGCGCCATCTGCTGTTAAAGACTAGCCTGGAGCGCCATCTGCTGTTAAAAACTAGCCTAGCCTAGAGCGCCATCTGCTGTTAAAAACTAGCCTAGAGCGCCATCTGCTGTTAAAAACTAGCCTAGAGCGCCATCCGCTGTTAAAAACTAGCCTAGCCTAGAGCGCCACCCGCTGTTAAAAACTAGCCTAGTCTAGAGCGCCATCTGCTGTTAAAAACTAGCCTGGAGCGAATCGATTCATGATGAGTTCGGAAAAAATTGGAATCAATCCACGAATCGCGTTGCATCGATATATTGTGCAGCCCTAGGTATCTGTATCTTAGAGAACAAATACGTGATTGATTTTCACACATGCCTCACATGGCCTGACCTGTTCCAGTGAGAAGAGGCCCGGCCTGCAGAGGTGGTGCTCCACCTGCCAGACTCACTTCACCAGCAACGTCATGGAGCATCGCAGGACCAGGGAGCACAAGGTGAACTATTCCCACAGACTTCATGCCCTCAATCAGCTTAATCATATTTTTAATTACATTTTTTTATTTTAGTTTGTTCATTTTAGTTAAATTTTTAGTGGTTTTGTTAATGTGCATTAGTTTTTTCTTATATTTCTATTTAGGCTTAATTTATTTTTTGTTTCAGTTTAGTTTTATTTATTTCCAGTTAATAATTTTAGTGCTTCAACTTATTTCCGTTTATTGCCAAGACAACATTTAAAGTTTTTTGTTTAGTTTAAGTTTACGATTTTTTTTTTTTTTTTTTTTACTTTTAGTTTAGTTAAATTTTTTGTCACTTCATTATGTATATTTGTCATTTTATTAGATTTTTTTTTAAAAAATATTGCTATTTAGCTTTCTTTTTTCCATTTTTTTTTTTTCAGGTAATTCGAGTTGTTTATTTCCAGTGAATAATTTTAGTGCTTCTACTTAAACTTATTTCAGTTTATTGCCATGGCAACGTTTCTAATTTTCATTTAGTTTAAGGTTTTCAAATAAATGTTATATTTTGATTTATTTCAGCTTTATTTCAATAACACAGAAATGTTTTTAATAATTGTATTTTTTCTTAACATTAATTACCCTGCATGCAATCACTAAGATTGCCGTGTGTGTGTGTGTGTGTGTGCAGTAATAACCCTGTATGCAATTACTAAGATTGTCATTGCATATATGACTAGTAGTGACCACTTCTGTTTGCATGCTTCAGAACTCCTGGTTTAACCGTGTGTGTGTGTGTGTGTGTGCAGCGCTGCAGTCACTCGCCCAGCACCAGCTGCACCGTCTGTAAGCTGCACTTCAGGACGGCCAGAGAGTTCGTGGAGCACATGCAGTCCAAGGAGCATAAGCAGCGCGTCGAGCTGGTAATATTCAGAAATCCCTCTAATGATGCTTGTTTTTGTGTTATGCAATATAATAATAACAATACCTTTTATTTATAGGCGCCTTTCAATGCACTCAAGGATACCGTACAACATAAAAGTAAATCGGTAAAATACAAAGCTATGCAAAAAGACAGACATACAGATCAAACATAAAATTCTATTCTAAAAGCTATTCTAAACAGATAAGTTTTAATCTGAGCTTTAAAAAGGGAGATTGAATTTAACTGGCGAATATGGTGAAGCAAACCTGAACTTTTACTCTTGTAAAGCACAGAAGTGCTTGAAAAGTGTTGGGGAGATTTGTTCCTCTTCAGACGTGACCATTATTTTAATATTGAAAATAGAAATGACGTGTATATACGAGATGTCGAATTGGTCACACAAGAATTTCCCATGCATGTTAATTAAAAGGGGAAGAATTGGCTTTGTTTTTTTAAAGTCCCCCTTTAGTCAATAATTTTATCCCTTAACTCATCTTTGATCACCAAAATGACATATTTTATCGTGCAAATGCCTTAAAAATAGCTGGAATGTAACTCGACACCCTTGCCTCATTTAGTATGCGCGGCTCTACGATTATGCAAATGAGCCCCGCCTCCACTCACTCCCTCAGCTCAGAGATCCACTGGTTGACGATCACACGTTGATCTGATTGGTTACAAGGTCGTTTGTGACGTCAGAAACACCAGCGATTTCAAACCGTGTTTTTGAGACTGTCTTTGGTTCACTGCAGTTTTAAGCAGAAAATACTCAGCAATGCTGTCGACTTATGAACTTACACATGGTGTGTCTTAAAGCGTATTAAAAACACCACATAGACACATAAACAACATCAAAAGCTGGATTTTTTTAATTAAATTTTTTCTTTAAGTCTTTCTTGACTGTAAAGCATATTTTGTTGGAATATCCTGTTTGTTTCAAAGTAAATCCTACACCAAATATTTGTAAAATAAATGGAATTGGTGTGTATTAGTGTTTTTTTTTTACATATTGAGAACAAGGCAAATTGACTTTCTGTAGTAGCTGAGAGCATTTTATTAAGACTAAAGGTCCTTGCACACTGAGTGTGTGGCTCTGAATCGTCAAAATGCGAAAAACGCAGAAAATCGAACCCGATCCAAATTTGTTTATGACGGATGAAATTTCGGAGGCAGAGTGTAAACGTGATTGACACAAAGTAAGGTTGTATTTATTTTTTAACATGCGAAAATAATTCCGAACGAGAATTTCGGACTCTGTGTCAAGTCACCTTTATTTTTATATATATATAGCGCTTTTTACAACACAGAGTGTTTCAAAGCAGCTTTACAGAGATAACAGGAAAATAATACAACAAGGTTGTTTCCAGAAAAAAATAGTGTCATAGTCCAGCTTAAGTAAGTTCAGTGAGGTTTCATTTCTGTTGTAAAAGTTATTAATTTAGTTTATTTATATATTAGGGCTGGGAGAAAGAAATCAGTTAACCTAGCTATCGTGATTTCTTTTTCTTTTTCTTTTTTTGCGATTCTAAAATAACAAAAATTAATCCAGAATCGATATTAATTCAAATTCAATTGCTTTATTTTTGTCCTTGCTTGTAGATGAGGTTGACAGAAGTCAGCCTTGAGTAAGTGAGTGTGTCGTTGTCTGAGTGTTGAGTGGCGTAATATCCTGACTAGCGTCGCGGCGTGAGCCTGAACGCACTAAAGCCCTCGCGCTGCTCATATACTGAGAGAGAGAAGACCGTAGAGCTGCACGAGTCGGCTCTAAAACACTGATCTCCATTCAAACACACACGCCATCTTTCCATCCGTCTGTCTATTACAGGGTCTTAAACAGTCTAAATCACTATTTAAAGCCTTAAAAACTCTTAAGTTTGCTGAAGTATTGTGTTCTCGGTCTTAAATCATTTTAAACAGGCTTAATTTTCCTAGATCCATGTAAATCTCATTGAAATGCTCCCGCAGCGCTTTGGGATGTTTTTATTTATTTATTGCGTGGTGTTGTAGTTCCTTATTTCGCACGTCCAAATATAATTCGCTGTATTACGACTACAAAATAGACCAACAAGCCAATCAGCTTTGTGCATCCATCTAAGCTGTGTTCAGTTTGAATAAATTAATTTACTTTGCAAGTCATTTTGAGACTCTGCGTTTCCTTTGTACGTTTTTTTTAATGTCGTGATATAGGTCTTAAATTTAATTCATAATGGTCTTAAAAAGGTGTTAAAAAGTCTTAAGTTTGACTTTGTGAAACCTGCAGAAACCCTGTTATTAAACTTTGACAAAATCATATTTCAACATTCAGATCTGTGTCGGCGCTGCCCCGGAGAGAGTCGTCATGAAACCGCTTCACAAACAGTGTTTTCAACCTCATAGGATCATTATTTCTGTGATGCAATAGTTGAAATGATCATACAAGTACTTGGATAAAAGTTTAAAGTTCAGATATGAACACTGATGTCTACGATAGCGATCAAAATCAGCTTTTGATAGAAACTCGGTGCTTAAAATAACGCATGTATCGATTACATTGTTTGGCCACTAGGTGTCGACAAGTGACTGTTAAAATATGTATTAGTTATTGAATCATTTATTAAAGAGAATGTAGTATTGTGTGAGGCTTCTGAAATAAAAGTCAGAAAGATGTGATGATTTTTTTTTGTAAATATGACTCATCTTATACATCATGTACTGTAGTCTGTATAAGTGTATGATTTAACTTTTCCCGATGGTCTAGTGTTAAAAAAATGGCAATTTCGAATCGCAATACTTTTAGAATCACAATTCTTAAAAAAATCGCAATACATATTCGGCACCCAAGTATCGTGATGGTATCGAATCGGGAGATCGGTGTATCGTCCCAGTGCTGTTATATATATATATAATGCGGGAGATCAATACCTTAACTCTGTGTTTAATCTCAGTGAGAACGATGTTGTTTTGGTGTGTCACTGCAGCTGTGGAAGGAGTCGGGGAAAGACGGCGTGGATCAGCTGAACTCTGCCATGTTATTGGCCGAAGAGGACGGCGACTGCAGTGACGACGACAGGGAGGAAGAGGAAAACGGGAAGGTAAAACATTCTTCATTTACTTATACATTTATGCATTTGGCAGACGCCTTTATCCAAAGCGACGTGAAGGTACACATTCTTATCAGTTCTTCATGTATTCGGTTTCTAGAGCTTCCCGAACCTAGTCGACTGGTTCATTTAAGCCGAGTAGTAGCAAGTTTGTGATATTATTTAAATAGGACATACGCTTTTTCACATGTTCATCTTTCTTTAGTGTGTGTAATAGAGCTTTTTCATGCTCAAAAAGCAACGAGTTATTCTCTATATCAGTGTTTCTGAACTCCTGAAACGCCTCCATTGTAGTCTCGAGTTTCTCCCGGGAACGAACACGTCTCAATATTCCTCATTATAATAATTCATGCGCAGAATAAAGGGGCGGGGCCTGGTTGAGTTAGTTAGTAGTGTGTTAAACTGGCGGTTAAGAGAAGGGGCGGGACATTTCCCAAAACACACTCAAAAAGAGCTCGACCAATCACAACACACTGCTCCAGCCGACCAATCAGAGCACAGTGTGCTTTTCAGAAGGAGGGGCTTCATAAAGACAGGAAGTAAACAGAGCGTTACTGACAGACTGGGAAGAGAGGAGCCGCAACAATGGAGAATATGAGGAGAATAATCAACATTCAAGCAGGAAAACCTGTTCTTGTAGAGCACAATAACAACAAGACTTTAAAAAGGGCACAATAGCTTCTCTTTTAAATGCATTGAGCAGATTTATAAAGAGCACAAAAACAACAAGGCATCAGAAAATGGTTTGAGTTTCAGGGCTGGGACAGAATATTGCATGTAACAGTGCTAACATTATTCTACATTACTGAGAAATAATAAAACAAAATTAAATATAAATATTTAATGACATAATTATGTTTCTACTCCAATTCGTCATAACTTGTTCTTGAATATTAAATACATTAGGGATGCACGATATATCGGCCACCATATCGGTATCGGTATCATTATCGGTTTGATAAGAAAATTTGTCCGATATATTAAAGCTGATAAATAATGTATTATTTCCTTCAGCTGAGACGCTTCAGATGCAACATGAGGGTTTTAAACTGCTTAAAATATGATTGAAATCACTTCAAAAAGGAAAATACAGTTATACAAGTCTGTCATATCGGCTACATAAAACTATAATGAGAACGTCATTATAATTGTGTGTTTGGGACATGGATTTTAATGGTGAGACTTTTGTTTTAATAATCAGGCTCTCAACATTTATATAAAAATTTGGATTTAGATTTATCGGCCGATATATCGGTTATCGGCTTTCAAATATAAAGAATTATCGGTTATCGGTATCGGTCAAAATTGTCATATCGGTGCATCCCTAGTGCCTACAGAGAGAAATGCACATTAATTAAGCATGTCATGCACTAATTAACTCGAACACTTGTAACACATCTAGTTAATGTTCGAGCGAGCGATGGCTAACTAGGTTAAACTGATGAGCCATGTTTGAGGTGAGCGTTTGGATTTCCTACCCGATGTCATTACCTAATTAACCAGCTGTGTTAACGATCTGTGTTGTGTAAATACTATATTGTGACCCTGGAGCTCTTTTATGCAGTTACTTCACTTAAGGACATATTTAATAAGATTATGCCTGGATTTTTAATCATATGTTAATTTAAAAAATCTATAATATGACTTGCTGTTTTTGTATTTGTTTTTATTGTATTTATATGATATTTTGTATTTTTGTAATTTAATTTTTCCCATGAAAATAGCTTTGAATGCTGACATGGCATTAAATAAAATAATCTGTGACCCTGGACAACAAAACTAGTCATAAGTAGGGGTCGACCGATTATCGGCGCCAATATCAAGCATTTTTATGGTTATCGGTATCGGCCATTTTCAAAACCGATTTGCCCATAAAATAACTTTATTTTGAAATGCGCTATATTTGGCTCTGACGCAGCCACCTTTGTCGGAACTCACCACTCTGTAGACTAGACTAATGTCCCCGCACATCTGATTTGTTGGGAGTCACGAGTCCGGCCAATCAGCGCGGAAAGCTGAGGCACTGAAAGTGTTGCACTCTCACACCGAGAGAGCACTCGCTGACTAGAGCTGCTTCACTGATCACGCTTCAGTTGTCTCTCAAAGTTAAGGCAGCAGCAGACTTTGCTGAAGAAGCAAGATTACTACACTTAAGTTGAAAAATACCTCAATATAATAGAGCCCTGTGATTTCCGCGATGCAGAACAGACGGAGTCGCGGAATCAAAAAACCCTTTGTTATTCTTAATTTTGACATTAATTTACAGTTTTACACCAGACATAGCTATAATATATACACTCACCGGCCACTTTATTAGGTACCCCATGCTAGTAACGGGTTGGACCCCCTTTTGCCTTCAGAACTGCCTCAATTCTTCGTGGCATAGATTCAACAAGGTGCTGGAAGCATTCCTCAGGGAGTTTGGTCCATATTGACATGATGGCATCACACAGTTGCCGCAGATTTGTCGGCTGCACATCCATGATGCGAATCTCCCGTTCCACCACATCCCAAAGATGCTCTATTGGGTTGAGATCTGGTGACTGTGGAGGCCATTTTAGTACAGTGAACTCATTGTCATGTTCAAGAAACCAATTTGAAATGATTAGAGCTTTGTGACATGGTGGAAGTAGCCATCAGAGGATGGGTACATGGTGGCCATAAAGGGATGGACATGGTCAGAAACAATGCTCAGGTAGGCCGTGGCATTTAAACGATGCCCAATTGGCACTAAGGGGCCTAAAGTGTGCCAGGAAAACATCCCCCACACCATTACACCACCACCACCAGCCTGCACAGTGGTAACAAGGCATGATGGTTCCATGTTCTCATTCTGTTTACGCCAAATTCTGACTCTAACATCTGAATGTCTCAACAGAAATCGAGACTCATCAGACCAGGCAACATTTTTCCAGTTTTAACTGTTCAATTTTGGTGAGCTCTTGCAAATTGTAGCCTCTTTTTCCTATTTGTAGTGGAGATGAGTGGTACCCGGTGGAGTCTTCTGCTGTTGTAGCCCATCCGCCTCAAGGTTGTGTGTGTTGTGGCTTCACAAATGCTTTGCTGCATACCTCGGTTGTAACGAGTGGTTATTTCAGTCACTGTTGCCCTTCTATCAGCTCGAACCAGTCTGGCCATTCTCCTCTGACCTCTGGCATCAACAAGGCATTTCCGCCCACAGAACTGCCGCTCACTGAATGTTTTTTCTTTTTCGGACCATTCTCTGTAAACCCTAGAGATGGTTGTGCGTGAAAATCCCAGTAGATTAGCAGTTTCTGAAATACTCAGACCAGCCCTTCTGGCACCAACAATCATGCCACGTTCAAAGTCACTCAAATCACCTTTCTTCCCCATACTGATGCTTGGTTTGAACTGCAGGAGATTGTCTTGACCATGTCTACATGCCTAAATGCACTGAGTTGCCGCCATGTGATTGGCTGCTTAGAAATTAAGTGTTAACGAGCAGTTGGACAGGTGTACCTAATAAAGTGGCCGGTGAGTGTATATATATATATATATATATACTCTATGTATTTTAATCAATATTTAATCAATTTTAATCATTCACTCACTTCACACGGACCGACCGTCTCTCGCAGGAACATGTTCCAACACATCGGCCAATCAGAGGAACTTATCGGCCGATGCCGATATTTAAAAAATGCCAAATATCGGCCGATATATCGGTCGACCACTACTCTATATGAATAAATGTTGTGTGTCTTCCAGGAGGGTCTGTCTGCGCAGATGGAGGTCACACTAGAAGATCTGACTGAAGACGAGGAGTTTGACTCTGACACAGTGTATGGTGGGTAATAATTAGCCACGGGATACAAGTACGATCACGACATCTTTAATATGTGGCATTATATTTAACGTTTTGTCTCCCAGGGTCTAGTTTTGTGGTGCCTGTCGCTGGGTTTCTCTGTCGACTCTGCGATCAGTTCTATCACTTTGAGTCTTCGGCTCGACACACACACTGCAAGACGCTCACACACTTCGAGAATCTGAAGGTGCGTTTAAACTTTGACCTTTCAATTTGTTGTTCGTTCAGTTACATAAATGTACTTCTTATTTGGATTTATTAATATTTCTCGTGTCAGTTTAATGCTTTGGTCGGGTCCTCATTGTTTTAAACACTTCTTGCATAAATTATATAATCTGATTATTTTTGTTAGTAGCTTATAATGTAGATTAAGTCTTGTTCAGACTTTAATATAAAGTCAGTAGGAATTGTATAGTTTTTTTCATCAGTTTCCCACTGATAAAATATCCAGTTTTTTTCCCCTGGTGTCAGTGTTATTTTATTTTAGTATCATTTATATACTATAATATTGTATTTATTAATGTTTTCAATTATTTTTTGGGTTTTTTTTTTTATAGTTTATCATTTTAGTTTACATTTTATTAATTTTGTTACTTGCTTTTGTCATTTTTATTAGTTTTTTTATATTAATATTTTTATTCCAATTTTACTTTTAGTAATTTTAGTACTTATTTAATTTAGCTGCGAAGGCTATATATATATTAGATGAAAAACGTAATAAAAATATTATATATATTACATAATAGAAATATATATATATATATTTATTAGATGAAAAAGTTATAAAAAAATAAGTATATATATATATATTAGTATTTATATTATATATAAATACTATATTTTTAAGCTTAGTTTTTTCATCTAATATTTATACTTCAAATATGCTTTTGTCTCTCAATTGTGCAATTTTTCAAAAATGCCACAATTACAGAAAAGTATTTTTAATAGTTAAAATACTTAATATCAACATTGTCTTGAATGTTCCGTTTCACTCAAAAATACTCCATATTTTGGAAGAAAAATTATTTGTGAATAGAATAATTTCACGTTGACTTTAACTGTATCTTGTCTAGCTACACAATACTCATGTACAGCTGTACTTTATTAATTATTAATAAATTATTATTATATTATTATATTATTAATTATTATTAATAGTATATAATGTTCATTTGGTTAACATTAATTAATTAATATATAAACTAACATGAACTAACCATGAGCAATACATTTGTTACTGTATTTGTTAATCTTTGTTAATGTTAGTTAATAAAATACAGTCATTCATGTTTGTTCACAGTGCATTAACTAATGTTAACAAGATTTCAATAAAGTATTAGTAAATGTTGACATTAACAAAGATTAATAAGTGCAGTTCATTATTAGTTCATGCTAACTAATGTATAGTACTTAATGAACCTTATTGTAAAGTGTTACCATTTAATTAATTGTATGTGCTTTAGAAATACATCAGAATTTTTGGTGGCCATGTTCCATTTATATATCATGCTGTTCATTTGTGGTTGTGCAGCGTTATAAAGTCTCAAGGAAACACGAAGACTCCGGTTCAACCTCGGGAGAACCGACACACCACATCAGTCCCGATGAAACCTTCACCTCGTCCACGCCTCAAATCCCCAAACCAGCCCTGGAGATCTCCGAGTCCGTGAGCTCCTCACTCCCCAGCATCAGCACGAACACCAGCATCCGTCAGGAGCACCAGCCGGATCTCGTTAGCGTTCCCGAGGGAAATGAGGATCTCGTTAGGGATCCTGAGGTAAACGAGGATCCCGTCATTAGCGTTCCCGAGGGAAACGAGGATCTCGTTAGGGATCCTGAGGGAAACGAGGATCTCGTTAGCGTTCCCGAGGGAAACGAAGATCTCGTTAGCGTTCCCAAAGGAAAAGAGGATCCCGTCGTTAGCGTTCATGAGGGAAACGAGGATCCCGTCGTTAGCGTTCCCGAGGGAAAGAGCGTTCGGGGCCGAGGAAGGACTCCTGCGAAGAGACGAGGAAGAGGAGGAGGAGGAGGAGGAGGAGGAGGAGGAAGACGACGCTGAGACCCAGAACGTTATTATCAGGCTCAGAGGACCCGAGTGAAACCACCCCGCCGATAGACCGTGTGTGTGTGTGTGTGTGTGTGTGTCTCCTGCAGTTCTGAAGGGTTTGTGCCACGGTTACACGCCTCTAACCCCCTGTTTGTACAGTAGATGTTTTCATTGAGCACAAGATCCCCAGAACTCCGGCACTGAACGATTCCTGCTTCGGCTGAAGGGTGAATCTCATCGACACGTGAACATGTCCAGGTCATAGATCAACACAGAGTGAGTGTGTGTGAGTGTGTGTGAGTGAGTGTGTGAGAGTGAGTGAGTGAGTGAGTGAGAGTGAGAGAGTGAGAGAGAGTGAGAGAGAGTGAGTGAGTGAGTGAGTGAGTGAGTGAGTGAGTGAGAGAGTGAGTGAGAGAGTGAGAGAGTGAGTGAGTGAGAGAGTGAGAGAGTGAGTGAGTGAGTGAGTGAGTGAGTGAGTGAGTGAGTGAGTGAGTGAGTGAGTGAGTGAGTGAGTGAGTGAGTGAGTGAGTGAGTGAGTGAGTGAGTGAGTGAGTGAGTGAGTGAGTGAGTGAGTGAGTGAGTGAGAGTGAGAGAGAGAGAGAGAGAGAGAGTGTGTGTGAGAGAGAGAGTGTGTGTGAGAGAGAGAGAGAGAGAGTGAGTGAGTGAGTGAGAGAGTGAGTGAGAGAGTGAGTGAGTGAGTGAGTGAGTGAGTGAGTGAGTGAGTGAGTGAGTGAGTGAGTGAGTGAGTGAGTGAGTGAGTGAGTGAGTGAGTGAGTGAGTGAGTGAGTGAGAGAGTGAGAGTGAGAGTGAGAGTGAGAGTGAGAGTGAGAGTGAGAGAGAGAGAGAGAGAGAGTGTGTGTGAGAGAGAGAGAGTGTGTGTGAGAGAGAGAGAGAGAGAGTGAGTGTGTGTGTGTGAGAGAGAGAGAGAGAGAGAGTGAGTGTGTGTGTGTGAGAGAGAGAGAGTGTGTGTGAGTGTGTGTGTGTGAGAGAGAGAGAGAGAGAGAGTGAGTGTGTGTGTGTGAGAGAGAGAGAGAGAGAGAGAGAGAGTGAGTGTGTGTGTGTGAGAGAGAGAGTGTGTGTGTGTGAGAGATTTAATTATCATCTAGTTTTCATGATAATTGCACCCTCACCCAATACTCATGTTTCATGTAAAATGTCATTCTCAAACTCATTACCATAATGCAAAAATATCATTTTAGCAAAAGTTGTTGTAGTGAATTAAATGTATGCTGATTTTAATGTTAAATAAGTAATAACTGTGTCCAGACAGAAAGAGTTTGCATTAATTGCAGCAAATGTAACTTTAGAGGGAAACGTGAATCCTGAAAGCCTCCTCGTGTTCCCTGCGTGTCGATGATGATTCACTCTCGCTGATGAATGTAGCGGCACTGAAACCTCTTCCAGTGTTCAAGGGTTTACGTTCAGAGCGGGACAGGGGAGGGAGACGAACCTTATTTTGTGTTCTTTAACGAAGTCATTTCATCTGAGTAACACTAGTTTTAGAGCCTTTAAATCGGGTGGATTCATGACAAACTCTGACGTTTCAGAAACACCTTTATATCGAGTTCTGCCTTTAAATGCAAACCGTTTTAAAAAGCCTGCGTTGTGATTGGCTCACGCTGATGTGATGTCACTCTACCAGTGGTGTTTACCTCCATTACAAGACTTGTTTTTACATGTGACGTTACATTACAGGGCAGAAGTCCTCGAGAAACTGACTTCATGTAAGACTTTCGATATGAGGATCTGCTGATCGAAATATTCTGATCTCAAGGTTGTTTTCGCGCCGACTTTACCTGTTATTAGCAGTTCTAGGTTTCATTCGCAACGGCTCGTTTACTCGTTACTTGGCCAATTATGAGTTTTAATAAGTCATACTGCAAAAAATGCTTTTCTTACTCAGTATTTTTGTCTTGTTTTCAGTCCAAATATCTAAAAACTCTTAAATCAAGATGCATTTACTAGATGAGTAAAATGTCAAAATCAAAATTAAGTGAGTTGTTGCTTTAAAACAAGCAAAATTATCTGCCAATGGGGTCAAAAATAATAAAATAATGTTTATTTAAACAGAAACAAGATTATTTTTACCCCATTGGTGGATCATTTTGCTTGTTTTAAGCAAAAAAAAACTCTTAATTTTGATTGATTACCTCAGAAAACAAGACATAATATCTTATTATTTTACTCATCTAGTAAATGCATCTTGGTTTAAGAATTTTTAGATATTTGGGCTGGAAACAAGACAAAAATACTGAGTATTTTTTGCAGTGAATAAGACGAGAGTTTTATTTTAAAATGCCAAAAGATATGTCTTGTTTTCTGGGGAAATCAATCAAAATTAAGTGAGTTGTTGCTTAAAAAAGGCAAAATTATCTGCCAATGGGGTCAAAAATAATAAAAATAATGTTAATTCAAACAGAAACAAGATTATTTTTACCCCATTGGTGGATCATTTTGCTTGTTTTAAGCAAAAAAACTCTTAATTTTGATTGATTACCCCAGAAAACAAGACATAATATCTTATTATTTTACTCATCTAGTAAATGCATCTTGATTTAAGAATATTTCGATATTTGGGCTGGAAACAAGACTAAAACACTGAGTATTTTTTGCAGTGAATAAGACGAGAGTTTTATTTTAAAATGCCAAAAGATATTATGTCTTGTTTTCTGGGGAAATCAATCAATATTAAGTGAGTTGTTGCTTAAAAAAGGCTAAATGATCTGCCAACGGGGTCAAAAATAATAAAAATAATGTTAATTCAAACAATAACAAGATTATTTTTACCTCATTGGTGGATAATTTTGCTTGTTTTTAAGCAACAACTCATGATATTATGTCTTGTTTTCTGGGGAAATCAGTCAAAATTAAGTATGTCATGTTACTCATCTAGTAAATGCATCTTGATTTAAGAATTTTTAGATATTTGGACTGGAAACAAGACAAAAATACTGAGTAAGAAAAGCATTTTTTGCAGTGAAGAACAAAAGAAATAATATTTCGCAAGACAGTTTTGAGCCCTTTAGCATTTCTCTATCGTGACATTATTTTCATGCCAATTAGGCACATTTTCCCCCTTATGAGAAAAAACATTGAACACATAATTTTGCATATAACTGTAATATTACAGTAATGAGACCCACTACTGACAGAATCTCTTAAGCTGAAACATCTCAATTCATTTGTTTATATTTTTTGCATCACGGTTTAAAAACGTGCATGAAAGTCTTCGTGGGACCAAAATATCCTTCGTCTTTCCGTAAAACGTAATTTCCTTTTTTATTCTTCATGTTTTTAGGAGTGAAATATGAGCTGGACGTGTGTGTGGTCAGTAGCGTTGATCTCCTGTTTGCTTCATCTACTGTGTGTGTCTCCCTGATAGAGCGTGTCACTGAACGCAGCGTTTTATGAGGATTATAATGGCATCCGCGCGGAAACACTGGAAACAGAAGCACTGAACGACTCTTTCATTACTAGAACGAAACACTGTGTAGCAAATGCATCCGTTCACATTCATCTTCAGGCCCCAAACTCAAAGGCAAATCTACAAATCTTGCATAAACTAAAAAAAAACAAGCTTTTTTTATTTGCATCGTCGCATTAATTCAACATTTTCACCCAAAAATTCTCAGCCAAACATTTTATACTTATATTTTTCATTACTGTAACGCAGTATTTTTTTTACCCACAGACATGTTGCATGCAGAATATCCTTTATTTATTTATGGTTTTGGGACGAACTGTGACCAGACCCATTAAATGCATGTGATCATAAATCATGTTTTCCACACTGACTTCAGATCAGGCTGAATGTGATGCTGATGATTCGAGGCGGAGAGTTGAACGGAACTGCTGTATGATAGGAAATCATGACTAAAAGAAACCAGTGTTTACCACGGCTTCATCTTCAGGAGAAAACACTCAGATCAAATGACTGAAAGCTCAAATGTGCCGAGAGTTTCCTATCATGGAATAATAATAATAACGTCCCGTGTTTCGAGCTCTGGAGGAGGAACGATGCAAGGCAAGCTAAACACGAAATATGTGTTTCGTATTCTGACAAACTGAAGTGTTTCACAGCAGCTGGAGTTCATGTATTTTCCAATGTTTGTTTTCTGTATGCGTCTCATTTTAATTTCTATTAAAATATTTGATGATTACAAGATCGCGACTGGGTTATTTATGAACTATTGTAAGATTGTTTTCACTACAAAATTAAAAGGGTTAATTAATTGTGACTTTAATCTCTCAATTTCGATTTTGCAATTTTATATATAACTCCCAATTATGACTTTCAGAATTGTGAGATATAAACTCGCAATTATGAGAGAAAGTCCAATTTTCTAAATCTCCAAAAATCCAAGCTAATGTTGATTCTTGTTTTATTACGAGCAGAAATATTGTGATTTTTTTTAATACATATATATATTCCATGGCTGAAACGAGCTTCCATATACATTTATTTACATCCTTGATAAATATTTATTAAAGGGGTGGTATAATGCCCTTTTCACAAGATGTAAAATAAATCTCTGATGTCCCCAGAGTGTGTGTGTGAAGTTTTAGCTCAAAATACCCCACAGATATTTTTATATAGCATGTTAAAGTTGCAAAAACGCACCGTTTTGTGTCTGGCCCTTTAAATGCAAATGAGCTGCAGCTCCGGTGGGCGGAGCTTCAAGAGTGTGTGTGTTAGCAGCTCCGATTACCTCACGCAGACACACGCTAAAATGTCAGCAACTGTTCTGCCTTTTATGTTTAAACCGGAGTCAGACAAAGATGGAGAGACTAAGAAGAAGTGACAACATGTAGAAGCAACAGGACATCTCTGAATGGTTAGTTGATGAATTTATGTTGCTGATGTGGAGTTAACTATCTTCAATTAGCATATTCTGTCAGGATAATCTATAAATCGCTCGTATAGGAACTGTTGTGAGACGCACACAGAGTGACTTTCTATTGCATGTGAAAAGACGGATGCTACAGTTTGAGTACAGACTCACAATACAAGACTTATACAACAACTCTTCCTCTTCTCAACATGGACTGTGTGTTCCAGGGGGCGGGGTTTATGTACATTTTAGGGTTAGTGATGTCACTAACCCGGGAGGAAGCTTGTGTAGTTCTACCAGCCGTCTGTTGTAGTCCTTAAAAACGATTTCTTTAAAAGCAAATCTCTCTCTTTGCTTTGAACTTTGAGCGTTGTAACTTTGCAGATGTTGTTTGTGCTCAAACAGCAACATTACACACTCATTAAAGTTAGAAAAGTGAAATCATAATCAACCACCCCTTTAAAATACTTTTCTCATATTCACATTGCATATCACACGAAAGCAATTATCCACCCGAGGCTGTGCGTTACAGTGATTATACCACGACCGTTTGGATACGCATTTCACTACGGAATTAGAAATAAAAAGGTAATAGCGAATTTTGAATCACACAATTATGACTTTTTATGACTTTCAGAATTGTGAGATATAAACCTGTGCAATTGTGAGGAGAAAAAGTCAAAATTACAATCCAAAAAATCCAAGCTAATGTTGATTCTTGTTTTATTACGAGCTCTTTTTCTCCAGGAGAAATATTGTACCTTTTTTTTTTATCTGTTCCACGGCTGAAATAACCTTCCACATAAACTTGTTTGCATCCTTGATAAATATTTATTAAAATAAATTCTCATTGTATATCATACGAAAGCAATAATCCACTCGAGGCTGTGCGTTACAGTGATTATACCACGATCGCTTTAATACACATAATCACTGTCTCGTGTGCTTTAATGCTTTCAAATCAGTGCAGATTAACAACAGAACAACAACATAAAGACATTTACATATATAATAATTATTCTACCCTACTGGTCCACTGAGAAGACGATGCAGGTATTTTACATCATCAATGCATTAATAATAATAATGAATAATTATGAAACAGTCTGAGATGGACGATGCTTTGATCTTCTTCCTACTTCAGTGTCTGTAATCTGACTTTAGAGTCTGAATAGGTTTAAACTATTATATTACAGTTTTTTTACAAGACAATTAAAAACATTCCTCAACCTTAATTCTCATTATATATATGTGTGTGTTTATGCACATTTATGCTTGAATGTATAGTGTGTGAGTGTATATATACCTATATATAAATATATATGTGTGTGTGTGTGTATGTATATTTATGCCTGTATGCATAGTGTGTTTGAGTGTGTGTGTGTGTATATATATATATGTGTGTGTGTGTGTGTGTGTGTGTGTGTGAGAGAGAGTATTCAGGTATTCTACATCATCAATGCATTAATAGTAATGATGATAACTATGCCACGGTCTGAGATGGACGTCTAGTCTCGGGTCTGTGTGTCTCTGGACGCTGGGTCTTCTTCTGGAGGATGAGGATGGTCACGTTCTTCATCACTCAGCTGTTCTCTGAAGTCTCGTCGGGCTTGTCTGTTGGACTCCAGGAGCTCGTGAAGTTTCCCGTTCAGAGAGTCGTTCTTCTCCTCGATGTCGTCCAGGCACGAGTTGATCTGGTCCAGCATGGAGTCGATCGCTGCGTATTCTGAGCCGAGACACACACACACACACACACACATTCAGTGCTACGTCCAGCTCTCCTGCTCTCAATCCAGTGATGTTTCATTGTTTCTTAAGAAATTACTCACTTTGATCTTCTTCCTACTTCAGTGTCTGTGATCTGACTTAAGAGTCTGAATAGGTTTAAACTATTATATTACAGGGTTTTTTACGACACAATTAAAAACATTCCTCAACCTTAATTCTCATTATATATGTGTGTGTGTGTGTGTGCTTGTATGTATAGTGTGTGTGTATGTATATGTGTATCTTTTATTTATATGTGTGCCTGTATGCATATTTATGCAGGTTTGTAACCATAGTGTGTGTGTGAGTGTATATACGTATATATATGTTTGTGTGTTTGAATCAATGAGAGTGTGTGTGTATGTATATTTATGCCGGTATCCATAGTGTGTGTGTGTGTGAGAGAGAGAGAGAGAGAGAGAGAGAGAGAATGTGTGTGTGTGTGTATGTATGTATGCATATTTATTTATGCTTTTATGTATATGTATAGTGTATGTGTGAGTGTATTTACGTATATATATATATATGTTTGTGTGTTTGAATCAATGAGAGTGTGTGTGTGTATGTATATTTATGCCGGTATCCATAGTGTGTTTGAGTGTGTGTGTGAGAGAGAGAGAGAGAGAGAGAGAGAGAGAGAGAGAGAGAGAGAGAGAGAGAGAGAGAGAGAGAGAGAGAGAGAGAGAGAGAGAGAGAGAATGTGTGTGTGTGTATGTATGCATATTTATTTATGCTTTTATGTGTGTGTGTGTGTGTGTACACCCACAAAAACACACATATCCAAGTCCTAGTAAAAAATAAAAATGTAATAAAGTATTTTAAAAAGCAGTAGTTTTATTGTTTCTAGTAACTAATAAAATCATCAAAGGTAAAACATCCGAGCGATTCAGTTAAACTCATATTCCAGAATGAGAATATTTCAATAATACCTTCATCACTGAATTCATCTTCATCCTCGATTATTCCATCATCAGCTGAAATATTGGGATCTCCGTTTGGTCCAGACATATTTAAAGCAAAAGATTCCTTATAACGATACAATTTAAAATATTAATTAAAATGCAACTCGCAAAAAAAGCATATAATATATACTGTCTATATAAACATACTATTTATATATTTATAATATATAAAAGTACACTAAAATATCAGACTGATCGAGAGAGGTGATTATAGAAGATGAAGAGCTCAGTATCAGCTGACTGACTGTCATGTGACCAGCGGTCTAATAATGCGCCTCATCAGAATAATATTAACACCACTGTCTCTGCTCGAAATATGTCATTAATCCAATATTGATGGAACAAGATGGAATATAGCAATTTTGCGATGATTTTAAAACCCCTCACGATTTCGCAGCTTTACAAACGTTTTATTTCTGGCATCGCGATAGACAGCCTTTGCTCGCACGTCAGCGTCGTGTTTATATGACGTCATGTTGTAGTTTTTGAAACGTCGCGGCGCGCTGAGCGACATGTGCAGCAAAACAGAAGCGGTTAATGTTTAGAGTGTGTTTTAAAGCGGTTTTGTGATATTTGCTTCAATAGCAGGTTTTCCTCATATGATATAGATGTTTTATTTATCCCGTCATGGAGGATTTACCCGGAGATTTGAGAGCGTTTCTACAGAAGCATCCTTGTTTTCAACTCACAGACTCCAAGAAGGTCAATAACATGACGCTAAAACTCACATTTCAGTTGTTTAAATGATCTGTTTTAGGAGATGAAATCGTGAATTATAGTTGAATGCCTCTGTATGTTTGTTAATGCTTAACGTTATGTTTACATTGGTATTTTCCCAGATTAAGTGCACACTGAACGACCACGAGTTTCCCTGCAGCCTCGATGAACTACAACACTTCACATCAGGGAAGAAATACAAGAAACTGAGCGCTGAGGTGGAGTTTGACTACAGGCAGTACGAGCCCCATGTAGTCAGCAGCACTAAACAGCCGTAAGTACACACTACACCAGGTGTTTACACACTTTAAAGAGTCAGGGACCCGTTATATAGGGGCGAAAATGTCTCGGTTATGCGCATGACGTCACCGCCAGCTTGAGTGACACACTGAGTGGCAGCATTTGTTTTCAGCCTAACCCTAAAAACACACAAAACTCATCTAAATCGTGAAGGAGCTTTGAGATTGACTGTATAAATAGATTTGACAAGAAACAGAGGTATATTTTTCCAAACTGCTGAAAGCTACAGAACAGAAGCTGCGATACACAGACACAACTGGATCCAGGCAGAGAACGGTGGATTTACAGTCATTATTGTGTGCCAATATGCTGAGTTTAGGGCTAAAATCATACCCTATATATTGTATTGTTAATTATTGCATTGACAATTCATCAATTAAATATTTACAATCGTATATTCTGCATAATTGGATGTTTTTATATAAACACTGACAAAAAACTACACACGTTTTAGCGGTATTATAACAGTGATTAAACACACAGTTAATAAGGGTGAGGGTAATAGATATAACGCTGGATTTATTGGAGCAAACCTGCTCCGTTTAAATGTACTCTTTAATAATATGCTACAGCTCGGTTTTATTATTTACTGTATTTTCCAGAAAATAAGTCGAGTCGCTCAAACTTGCGTTGATGAGAATAAATTTGCATCAGTGTATAAATCACATTTTATCATTAGAAATAATGTAAAATACTGGTAAATAAAACGAAATGTTAATGATCTCTAAACATTGTAAACATGTATTTTACTTCCCCTCACTCATAAAAAGTATATGCATAAAATTAAATTTAACTGTTCTTTGTAAAAATAAAAATAAATGGAACTATAATTTATTTTAAATGCCAAGCCTATAACAAACGTATTTAAAATCTCCCTTAAAGTATTCAATAATTGTGTCCCTTAAAACTACTCTTTGATCGCCAAAATTACATATTTAAATGTTTACATATTAAAAAAATTACATATTTAAATGTTAAAGCATATTAAAAACACCACATAGACATATAAACAACATTTAAAAGCTGTATTTTCACCACAGGGGGTCTAATGTAATTTCGTTGTATCACTGCAATGACAATACATTTATTATTATTATTATTTAAGGCTAGTGAAATAGTAGTAAAGAGCAGTAGGATAATCTCTCTCTCTCTATTTTTGTGTTATGAGAAAGATCATATTCATCCGCACAAACGATGTTCTTCAGAATGCGGTTTTGTTTTTTAATCACTAGAGGGCCAAAAGTTACATGATGATGTACATTTAAACTGTAGAAAAATATATAAACTTGCATTAATGAGACCATTTAATGTCTTCATCTTTCTCTGTATTTTATATAGCGGTGTCTGTAAGAGTTAGGAATGATTTCTAATCATGAAACTTTAGATTGTCTGACAGGAATTTATCCACAATCTTTGAAAATGAAGTCATTTGGGGTCTCCTGAGAGTTAATGTGCCTCACGGAAAATAATATTCACATTCATTATGCCATTATTTTGCATATTTCAGATCTGCGGTATAAGTGTATCTTGTTGCATGTCAAAACACAATATGACTTTTTTTTCACTGGTCAGCTAGCTTGGTTTAAATGCTTTCATCATCTGGTGAAATTTAACTTTTTTTTCATTGAATTTAATTATTATTATTAATTTAGAATAATGTGCACTGATAACTAGTGATTATTTTATTTATTTATAAGCTATTGTTTTTATTAATATTTTGAATTGGCTTTTATTTTTGTTTTAATTTTAATTTAATTGTATTTTTTTTAAAACATTTTTAAGTAATTTATTTTTAAGTTCAGTTTTATTTTTTTGCAGTAAATAATTTTAGTGTTTCAACTTAAACTTATTTCCGTTATTTGAAGTATTTCATCTAATATTTTTTTTAAATAACAGAAATGTTTTATGTTTATAAGTAATAATCAAGTTGTTTAGACAATGTTAATTTCATAATATATTATGAATAATATCATGTTAAGATAATAATGTACTATGAATTATACTATGTATATGTACAATCTTTGTATTGTGTGTGTGTGTGATTTGTACTATACGGGGACAATAAAGTAACTAACTAGCTAATGACGTGTTAATATTTTCATGTTGAATAAATTGATTGTGGTTCTGTTTCCTCAGTAATCATCTCTTCTGCAAACTCACGTTACGCCACATCAACCGCGTTCCTCGACATGTTCTTCGCCACGTCACCGGCAAGCGCTACAGGAAGGCTCTAGATCAGTGTAAGTTCATCCTCCATTAACAGGGCTGGAACGGGTCGCGGTGATCGGGACCCGTACGGATCAGCTGACCCGCGGTCCGGCACGCGTTTGACTCGCGGATTAACGGATCAGTGTAACCATCATTGTGCAAAAGGCCATGGTCAAGTTACATTTATGTTATTATTATAGTTGCACAGTGTTCTGTCAAGTGTCGCGTCTGCGAGTAGGCGGAGTTTAACCGGAAGTCTCGCGAATTCGGCTAAAGTGAGATCAGATATACAGCAATGGAGGAACAGAAGGAAGAAATGTGCCAATTTACACATCCAAACCATTTTAAACGCAGAAGAAGAGGCGAAAATCAGGACTTGCGCGTTATCTGTGCGCACAGAGAGAGAGAGAGAAAGAGAGAGAAGCCCCTTTCACACAGAGATTCCGGTGTTGTGCCTAATTTCGACCCCCTGCCAAATTATTACCCGCCTCGTTGAAGTCAGTACCTGATTGCCTAATCCCAACCCCGCCCCTAATCCCAACCCCGCCCCTAACCCCGCCCCTAATCCCAACCCCGCCCCTAACCCTGCTCCTAATCCCAACCAGAGTATGTGAGCGGAGTGGAGCGGCAACAATGTTCCCTCCGCGCTCCAAGCATTTAATAATCACTCCGCTCCAGCTCCGCTCCGGGTTCACCATTTACCGCTCCCGCTCCACTCCTCGCTCACTGATATCAGAAACACCGCTCCGTCTTCGCTCCCCGAGGAAATTGCGAATAACTATTTAAGTATGCTTTGAAATCTCACAAAATTTCTCCTCATCGTAATATAGCCTATAGGCATATTATTATTTGTTTTTTTTAAACATCATTAGGAGAATAGTTTCAATGTGGTTTATTGGATAGTGTGCGAACTTTTCCTATGACTTATTACATTATCAGCATTATAAGTTAAATATCATTGCTGCTTTTTGCAGAGCATATTTTGTTTGGAAAGATGAAAATAACGTTTTCATCAGTTATCTACCCACGGGTCACTACATTTCTTACAGTTTTCTGCTCGTTCGAAATCAAACCGACAGCACTGTAAGAGTACATTTTTTGAATGCAATGCATTGAGACGCAATCGTGAGAAACAGTGTTAATTTCGTTGACGAAAATAACGACGAAAATTATTCGTCAACGACATTTTTTCACAGACGAAAACGAGACGATAACTAAATAAAACCTAGTTTTGAATGACAAAGACTATGACGAAAATCTATTGACATTTTCGTCAACGAATAAAAACTAGACGAAAATGTTAGATAGTGACGATTTGGGAAGCGATCCGTCAGAACTGATGTCCTGAGCGTGTGTGATAGATAGATGCGCACATTTGTAGGCTACTGTAACGTGATCTACCCCGCGGTCATAAAACGTTAAAAAATGTGAACGTCTGGGAGAATGAGTAGAGCAGACATATAGATCTGAATAAGAGTGACGATGCAAAAAAGAGCTCTATTCGGTGCGGTTTTCTGTGCGCACACACCTAACCCGAAGCGTGCAGTCATGCACAATACACCTACAGCGCGCGAGTAGGCTACTGAATTGAGCTCTCTTTCGTGTCTGAATGGACAAATACACACAACAGTCTGTCTAAATGTCCGTTTTAGAGAGTATTCATGTAAACTATGCTGGTTATGTCTTAAACTGTGAGTGTATCGGATGTGCATCAGTGCAATTGTATCCGCATGTCATTGGACATGATCCGACGTCTTAAAGTGACAGTGGCGATAAACATAATGCGGTCCGTGTCCTTAATTTTGATCAAGCAACAAAAGAAAAAGAGAAAAGCATTCACTGTTTGTTAATAGCTTTAATAAGGATTAATTATATTGAATTCATACAAATAAATATGTCTGCTTGAAAGAATAAAGAATGATGTATGCAAGTAGTTATAAGGAATGCATATATCATTCATTGTAAAGAAGACTGTGTTGTACTTTAGGAAAAGTGGTTTTATTTAATTTTAAGATATTTTTTAAGTAACAGCAGTTAAATCTGTATCTGTATTGCATGTTCAAACTTAAAAATCATTCATATTAATAGGTTAATAGATGTTTTCTCCGGGAGTAAATGGGTTTGGAAATTTTAGAGAAATTCTAAATTAACGCATTACAATTGAACTAAACCCATTATATTTTAGTCGACTAAATCTACTGTAGATTTAGTCGACTAAAATGTTATTGTATTTCGTCGACTAAAACTAGACTAAAACTAAAACAATTCAGATGACTAAAATATGACTAAAACTAAATGCCATTTTAGTCAAAAGACTAAGACTAAAACTAAATCAAAATTTGCTGACAAAATTAACACTGGTGAGAAAGCGATTGCGTGTGTGAATAAGTGTTAGCTTACCTGTTTAAAATGTGCTTTCACCCGATCCGGCTCGATCTCATGAAAGTGCGTCACACATTTTATTTCTCGTACCATTTATACGCCAAAAACTTGTTTTTGCTTGCATAGCCTAAGCCTGGGATACGAAGTTTTCGCGTGCATATGATACGCACTTTATGGCGTGCACGCACTTCACACACCTAATCATAACCAAGGCAAGGCATTTAGTACATTTCATTTGCATGCAAAAAAAAAGTTTATGTATAAATGGCACAAAAAATAAAATGTGTGCTATAGTGTTACGACCAACTCGTTTAAAGCCGCAACATGAAAGAGGGATCAACTCAAATGTTCAATGAATGAAAAGAAAGATTTTATTCTCTTTAACAAACATAACAATAACCACTCATAACAAACATAAGTCTAGGGAAAATAAAGAAACAAAGAAATAAACAGAATAACTACAACAAAATATTAAAGCTACATGATATAATGATAAGTATAAGAAAGAAAAGCAATGCGATGTAAAGAGCAACTCCTGTGAGAAACTATCCCACAGAGAGTGCTAACCAAATGAAAAACTCAAACACTTAAATACTAAATTTCCTAATTAACAATTAGCATGGGGGAGTGACCCAAAACTCCCACAGACTGCCACCATCAGGTAAGGAGTACACTTAGGGTCGTCACATATAGATACGCACTTTCATGAGATAGTGTTGCCCGATCATATTCAGTAGGCTTGAGAAATAACCTCCCGCAGCCACTCATGTCCATCGGCGTCATCATTCACATCCTTCACATTTTTTTCTGATTTGAGTGATCCATCTCTGTACCATGCTAGAGTAATGTTTAACGTGTGAATCCTTACTAAAAATGCAGTTTTATAATGAGCCGTTGGCATGAATTGTACTCGTGATGGAGCGGTAGTGGAGCGCTCTCGGAGCGAGTGAAAACCACGACGCTCCGACTTTTAAAAAATCCGCTCCGCACTCCATTCAAAATCACACCGCTCCACTCCTCGCTCCGCTCCCGCTCCACTCCGCTCACATACTCTGATCCCAATCCCGCCCCTAATCCCAATCCCGCCCCTAATCCCAATCCCGCCCCTAATCCTAACCCCGCCCCTAACCCTGCTCCCAACCCCTCCCCTAATCCTAACCCCGCCCCTAACCCTGCTCCTAATCCCAACCCCACCCCTAATCCTAACCCTGCTCCTAATCCCAACCCCACCCCTAATCCTAACCCCGCCCCTAACCCTGCTCCTAATCCCAACCCCGCCCCTAATCCTAACCCCGCCCCTAATCCCATCCCAACCCCGCCCCTAATCATAACCCCACCACTAATCATAACCCTGCCCCTAATCCCAACCCCGCCCCTAATCCTAACCTAAACTAATCCTGCCCCTAATCCTAACCCCGCCCCTAATCCCATCCCAACCCCGCCCCTAATCATAACCCCACCACTAATCATAACCCTGCCCCTAATCCCAACCCCGCCCCTAATCCTAACCTAAACTAATCCTGCCCCCAATCCCAACCCCGCCCCTAATCATAACCTAAACTAATCCTGCCCCCAATCCCAACCCCGCCCCTAATCATAACCCCGCCCCTAATCCTAACCTAAACTAATCCTGCCCCCAATCCCAACCCCGCCCCTAATCATAACCCCGCCCCTAATCCTAACCTAAACTAATCCTGCCCCCAATCCCAACCCCGCCCCTAATCATAACCCCGCCCCTAATCCTAACCTAAACTAATCCTGCCCCCAATCCCAACCCCGCCCCTAATCATAACCCCGCCCCTAATCTAACCTAAACTAATCCTAAACCTACCAATGCTACCAATGCTTGATTTTGGTTCATTCTCACTGCCAGTGATTTTCCGGAATCAGAGAGTGTGTTCACACACAACCCGTAAAAATCCCGTAAAGACACGTGACATATGGCGCTTTTCCACTGATTAGTACGGTACGGTTCGGTTCGGTACGGCTCACTTGTGGTGCTTTTCCACTGCATGTGGTACGGTACGGTACGGCTCGCTTCGGCTCACTTTAAATGGTACCTGGTCTGTTGAGGTTCCAAGCGTACCGTACCGGTACTAAAATGTGACGTAAAAACACTGCAGATCACTGATTGGTCAGACAGAATCGTCACTACCAGCGTCATTGGACACTAAACCCGCTAGATTTAAATAACCAGTAGACAAAACAGCCAACGCGGTAGCATCTGTTTTTAAAACTTTAAAAAGAAATGGCTGAATCGTGGTCAGTGGACGAGGTGCAGACGTTCCTCTCGTTGGTTGCCGAGGAGCGGATCCAGCAAGAGCTGGATGGGGCAAAACGGAATGAAAAAGGGTTCCAAGAAGTAGCTCAGCTCTTAGCCGCACACGGCTATCACCGGACCTACAAACAGTGTAGGGACAAAATAACGATCAGTCCCACCCACTTTGAAGAGGTACTAACTGCGGTGGAAAAGCAACCGAGCTAAAGCGAACCGAACCGTGCCGCGTCGAAACGTACCGAGCCGTACCAGCAGTGGAAAAGCGCCAATAATGTCTCGGCAGCGTCTTCAGTTTGCTTATGAGCTGCGATTTCTCTCCACGCTTGTGCATTTCTTTCTCTGACTCGATCATAAACTAGCGCATTACGTACTGTTCCACTCGCTGGCGACCGATCCCGGCTTCAGCGTCGTCATCACGGCACGGCGTTGATTACCGGATGCTTGTCAGTGCATTTGCTCTTAAAGTGACAGTAGCCTAATATTCCTGCTGTCGTCTGTGGCATTAATGTTAATAAAACAACAAAATACACCGTTAACAAAGATTTCTACAGTGAACAAATCGTGTTATTTCACATTTAGGCTTAATTATTCATTTCTGGACCTGAATACTACTGTTAGACTTCGTAACTTTATTTAGTTTCATCTCTTCTTGTTATTTGTGTATTTGTTCTTATTTTATTACTGACTGTTCACTTGTTTTTAATAATGTGTGAACTTTATCAGTTAGGCTAGTAGTTTCTGATGTGGTGTCGAAGAACTTCAAGTGAGCTTTAAATAATTAATGAAAAGCAAAGTTACCCCCCCCCCCCCCCCCCCAATATATACTTTTTTTTTTTTTTTTTTTTTGCTCATCCGATCCGTGGCTCAAAAACCGTAAATGATGCGAACCGTGAATTTTGTGCTCCGTTCCACCACTACTGATTACTAATATTGTCATTAATTAATAAAGTCATTAATATGCCATGCTTTATATCTGTGTCAGATGAGGAGTGTGTGCGTCAGGGTGTGAAGTTTGTCCCGGTCCAGCTCCGGCAGAAGAAGAGAGCAGCAGTGTGTGACGAGGCCTCAGGAAGTGACAAACGGCCCACAGGAAGTGACAAACGAGCCACAGGAAGTGATAAACGAGCCACAGGAAGTGATAAACGAGCCAGCAGGAAGGAGGACAGTGGCGTCTGGGCTCCAGGTTCGAGTGACGTGGAGGACAGCGACTCTGAGGACAGTCTGTCTGACCTTTATCCACGTCAGTGCACACACACACACACACACACACCACTGTCCCAGCTCCCGCTTATTACTCACAAACTGCGATTCTCATTTAGAACAACACGCACTGATGAATTCTGCTTATTTAAGGATTATTTATTTGCTATTATAGGTTTTATTAATATTTTGAAATGGTTTTAATTTTTGTATTTTCAGTTTTCATTTTAATTTTAGTTAATTTTTTTAGTAATTGTATGTGCTTTTTGTAAGTTAGGTCTTTAAAAATATAAAAAAGAATGAAAATTAATTATTTATATAAATTGTATTGATATTTTGAATTAGCTTTTATTTTTATATTTTCAATTTTCATTTTAATTTGTTTGATTTTTAGTAATTTCTATGTGGTTTTGTTAATTAGGTTTTTAAATAAATATAAAAAACGAATAAAATATTTTTTTAAATATTTTAGTATTATTAGTTTTCATTTTAATTTTAGTTAATTTTTTTAGTAATTGTATGTGTTTTTGTTAGTTAGGTCTTTAAAAATATAAAAAAGAATAAATTAATTATTTATATAAATTGTATTGATATTTTGAATTAGCTTTTATTTTTATATTTTCAATTTTCATTTTAATTAGTTTGATTTTTAGTAATTTTTATGTGGTTTTGTTAATTAGGTTTTTAAATAAATATTAAAAAAACGAATAAAATATTTTTAAAAATATTTTAGTATTATTAGTTTTAGTAATTTAAGTAGGTTTATGTGATTTTGTTAATTAAACAAATTTTTTTTTAATAAAATAAAATAACTTTTGTTGGTTTTATAGTTTTATTAATATTTCGAATGAGCCTTTATCTTTTGTTTTCAGTTTTTATTATTATTTAATAATATTATTATTATTATTTAGTTTTTATAAATTATTTAAAAGAAGTAATAAAATGCTTAAACTAAAACTAATATTATAGTTTTATTTATATTTTATTCTTATTTATGGTTTAATTAATATTTTGAATTGGTTTTTATATATATATTTTTAGTTTCATGTTAATTTTAGTAATCTTAGTAATTTCATTGTGCTTTTGTTTTAAAAATGTTGTTATGTGCATTTTTTTTATATAGCTATATAGGTTTCATTTATTTATTTTCAGTTTAAAGTTTTTTTTTATTTCCCGTTAATAATTTTAGTACTTCAACTTCAAACTTATTTAAGTTTTTTGCAACATTTCTAATTTACATTTAGTTTAAAGTTTAATTTTATTTTATTTCAGCTTTAAATGACCAGGAATGTTTTCACTGGTTATGATTATGGATAATAACCCTGATGCTGATGTTAGTGTGTGTCGTGTTTCTGCAGCTTCTCTCTTCATTAAGAAGGAAGAGGAAGAGCAGAACATGAAAGAGGAAGAGGACTTTGAGACTGATGATGATGATGAGGAAGATGAAGTTTCTGAAATGGAAGTAGAAAACCAGACACAGAAACGCAAAAAGGTGATTTGATTGACATGTGTGTTTGATGAAGTGTAGAATATGAATGCAGTTTTGAAGGTTTGACACTTTAATCATGAATTATGTCTAAATTTGATTTGCATACATTACTTTCACAGAGTTCCACATATTTCATGAAGCAGTTTCACACTTTATTGAAAAAGGGATATTTCACCCATAAATGAATATTCTGTCATCATTTCCTCTCGCTTGTGTCGTTCCAAACCCGTAACACTTTCGTTCATCTTCTAAACATAAACAATGAAGATATTGTGATGAAATCTGAGAGATTTCTGTCACTTTGACTCTTCATAAAGTCCATAAAGATATCGTTTAGGAAGTGACATCTTCATATAAATACAGGATTCACTCACAAAAGTGGAATTGACATAAAAATATAGCATGTCAAAATAGATAAGCAAATGCAGACTGATAGATAATAATAATAATAATAATAATTTTAAAATATTTTCTATAGCGCCTTTAAAAGTTACATCTCAAAGTGCTTCACAAAAAATTGGAAAAAATAAAAGAGAAATACAACAATATAAAAGAAAAGAATATTGAAATATAAAATTCAAATATAAAACATGTTATCAAAACAATGCCGTTAGAAAACATAGTTAGAAGTAATCAAATAAAAGCTACCCTGAAAAATTAGGATTATGTGTAAAAGTTATGACTTGTATAAAGTTAAATGTCTATTAGGGATGGGCGAATCGATATGTATTGGAAGCTTGTTTCCGTCACTGAATAAAAAAATAAATAATAATAATTGCGACTTTTTATCTCACAATTGCGAGATATGAAGTCAGAATTGTGAGAAATAAAGTCACAATTCTGAGAAATAGTCGCAATTGCGAGATATAAAGTCGCGATTGCGAGATATAAAGTCGCGATTGCGAGATATAAAGTCGCGATTGCGAGATATAAAGTCGCGATTGCGAGATATAAAGTCGCGATTGCGAGATATAAAGTCGCGATTGCCAGATATAAAGTCGCGATTGCCAGATATAAAGTCGCGATTGCCAGATATAAAGTCGCAATTGCGAGAAAAAAAGACAGAATTGCTACTTTTTATCTCACAATTCTGACTTTTTTTCTCACAATTGCGAGTTTACATCTAGCAATTCTGACTTTATAACACATAATTGCGAGTTTATGTCTCAATTCTGACATCTTTTCTCTTCTTTATATCACGCAATTGCGACTTTATATCACGCAATTCTGACTTTATATCACGGAATTCTGGCTTTATATTACGCAATTCTGACTTTATATCACGCAATTCTGACTTTATATCTCACAATTCTGACTTTATATCACGCAATTCTGACTTTATATCACGCAATTCTGACTTTATATTACGCAATTCTGACTTTATATCACGCAATTCTGACTTTATATCACGCAATTCTGACTTTACAACACGCAATTCTGACTTTATATCACGCAATTCTGACTTTACAACACGCAATTCTGACTTTATATCACGCAATTCTGACTTTATATCACGCAATTCTGACTTTATATCACGCAATTCTGACTTTATATCACGCAATTCTGACTTTATATCACGCAATTCTGACTTTATATCACGCAATTCTGACTTTATAACACGCAATTCTGACTTTATAACACGCAATTCTGACTTTATAACACGCAATTCTGACTTTATATCACGCAATTCTGACTTTATAACACGCAATTCTCACTTTATAACACGCAATTCTGACTTTATAACACGCAATTCTGACTTTATAACACCCAATTCTGACTTTATATCACACAATTCTGACTTTATATCACGCAATTCTGACTTTATAACACGCAATTCTGACTTTATATCACACAATTCTGACTTTATATCACGCAATTCTGACTTTATATCACGCAATTCTGACTTTATAACACACAATTCTGACTTTATAACACGCAATTCTGACTTTATAACACACAATTCTGACTTTATAACACACAATTCTGACTTTATAACACGCAATTCTGACTTTATATCACACAATTCTGACTTTATAACACACAATTCTGACTTTATAACACACAATTCTGACTTTATAACACGCAATTCTGACTTTATAACACGCAATTCTGACTTTATAACACGCAATTCTGACTTTATAACACGCAATTCTGACTTTATAACACGCAATTCTGACTTTATAACACGCAATTCTGACTTTATAACACGCAATTCTGACTTTATAACACGCAATTCTGACTTTATAACACGCAATTCTGACTTTATATCACGCAATTCTGACTTTATAACACGCAATTCTGACTTTATATCACGCAATTCTGACTTTATAACACACAATTCTGACTTTATAACACACAATTCTGACTTTATATCACGCAATTCTGACTTTATAACACGCAATTCTGACTTTATAACACACAATTCTGACTTTATAACACGCAATTCTGACTTTATAACACGCAATTCTGACTTTATAACACGCAATTCTGACTTTATAACACGCAATTCTGACTTTATAACACACAATTCTGACTTTATAACACACAATTCTGACTTTATAACACGCAATTCTGACTTTATATCACGCAATTCTGACTTTATATCACGCAATTCTGACTTTATAACACACAATTCTGACTTTATATCACGCAATTCTGGCTTTATAACATGCAATTCTCGCAATTCTGACTTTATAACACACAATTCTGACTTTATAACACACAATTTTGACTTTATATCACGCAATTCTGACTTTATATCACGCAATTCTGACTTTATATCACGCAATTCTGACTTTATATCACGCAATTCTGGCTTTATAACACGCAATTCTGGCTTTATAACACGCAATTCTGGCTTTATAACACGCAATTCTGACTTTATATCACGCAATTCTGGCTTTATAACACGCAACTCTGACTTTATAACACGCAATTCTGACTTTATATCACACAATTCTGGCTTTATAACACGCAATTCTGGCTTTATAACACGCAATTCTGACTTTATATCACGCAATTCAGGCTTTATAACACGCAACTCTGACTTTATAACACACAATTCTGACTTTATATCACGCAATTCTGACTTTATAACACACAATTCTGGCTTTATATCACACAATTCTGGCTTTATAACACGCAACTGACTTTATATCACACAATTCTGACTTTATAACACGCAATTCTGACTTTATAACACAATTCTGGCTTTATAACACGCAACTCTGACTTTATAACACACAATTCTGGCTTTATATCACACAATTCTGACTTTATATCACACAATTCTGGCTTTATAACACACAATTCTGACTTTATAACACAATTCTGGCTTTATATCACACAATTCTGACTTTATAACACACAATTCTGACTTTATAACACACAATTCTGACTTTATAACACACAATTCTGACTTTATAACACGCAATTCTGACTTTATATCACGCAATTCTGACTTTATATCACGCAATTCTGACTTTATATCACGCAATTCTGACTTTATAACACGCAATTCTGACTTTATAACACACAATTCTGACTTTATATCACACAATTCTGACTTTATAACACGCAATTCTGACTTTATAACACAATTCTGGCTTTATAACACGCAACTCTGACTTTATAACACACAATTCTGGCTTTATATCACACAATTCTGACTTTATATCACACAATTCTGGCTTTATAACACACAATTCTGACTTTATAACACAATTCTGGCTTTATATCACACAATTCTGACTTTATAACACACAATTCTGACTTTATAACACACAATTCTGACTTTATAACACACAATTCTGACTTTATAACACGCAATTCTGACTTTATATCACGCAATTCTGACTTTATATCACGCAATTCTGACTTTATATCACGCAATTCTGACTTTATATCACGCAATTCTGACTTTATATCACGCAATTCTGACTTTATAACACGCAATTCTGACTTTATATCACGCAATTCTGACTTTATATCACGCAATTCTGACTTTATAACACACAATTCTGACTTTATAACACACAATTCTGACTTTATAACACGCAATTCTGACTTTATATCACGCAATTCTGACTTTATATCACGCAATTCTGACTTTATATCACGCAATTCTGACTTTATATCACGCAATTCTGACTTTATAACACGCAATTCTGACTTTATAACACGCAATTCTGACTTTATATCACGCAATTCTGACTTTATAACACGCAATTCTGACTTTATATCACGCAATTCTGACTTTATATCTCGCAATTCTGACTTTATAACACACAATTCTGACTTTATAACACGCAATTCTGACTTTATAACACGCAATTCTGACTTTATAACACACAATTCTGACTTTATAACACACAATTCTGACTTTATATCTCGCAATTCTGACTTTATAACACACAATTCTGACTTTATATCACGCAATTCTGACTTTATATCTCGCAATTCTGACTTTATAACACACAATTCTGACTTTATAACACGCAATTCTGACTTTATAACACAATTCTGGCTTTATAACACGCAACTCTGACTTTATAACACACAATTCTGGCTTTATATCACACAATTCTGACTTTATATCACACAATTCTGGCTTTATAACACACAATTCTGACTTTATAACACAATTCTGGCTTTATATCACACAATTCTGACTTTATAACACACAATTCTGACTTTATAACACACAATTCTGACTTTATAACACACAATTCTGACTTTATAACACGCAATTCTGACTTTATATCACGCAATTCTGACTTTATATCACGCAATTCTGACTTTATATCACGCAATTCTGACTTTATATCACGCAATTCTGACTTTATATCACGCAATTCTGACTTTATAACACGCAATTCTGACTTTATATCACGCAATTCTGACTTTATATCACGCAATTCTGACTTTATAACACACAATTCTGACTTTATAACACACAATTCTGACTTTATAACACGCAATTCTGACTTTATATCACGCAATTCTGACTTTATATCACGCAATTCTGACTTTATATCACGCAATTCTGACTTTATATCACGCAATTCTGACTTTATAACACGCAATTCTGACTTTATAACACGCAATTCTGACTTTATATCACGCAATTCTGACTTTATAACACGCAATTCTGACTTTATATCACGCAATTCTGACTTTATATCTCGCAATTCTGACTTTATAACACACAATTCTGACTTTATAACACGCAATTCTGACTTTATAACACGCAATTCTGACTTTATAACACACAATTCTGACTTTATAACACACAATTCTGACTTTATATCTCGCAATTCTGACTTTATAACACACAATTCTGACTTTATATCACGCAATTCTGACTTTATATCTCGCAATTCTGACTTTATAACACACAATTCTGACTTTATATCACGCAATTCTGACTTTATATCACGCAATTCTGACTTTATAACACGCAATTCTGACTTTATATCACGCAATTCTGACTTTATAACACGCAAATCTGACTTTATATCACGCAATTCTGACTTTATATCACGCAATTCTGACTTTATATCACGCAATTCTGACTTTATAACACACAATTCTGACTTTATAACACACAATTCTGACTTTATAACACACAATTCTGACTTTATAACACGCAATTCTGACTTTATATCTCACAATTCTGACTTTATAACACAATTCTGACTTTATATCACGCAATTCTGACTTTATAACACGCAATTCTGACTTTATATCACGCAATTCTGACTTTATAACACACAATTCTGACTTTATAACACGCAATTCTGACTTTATAACACGCAATTCTGACTTTATAACACGCAATTCTGACTTTATATCACGCAATTCTGACTTTATATCACGCAATTCTGACTTTATAACACACAATTCTGACTTTATATCACGCAATTCTGACTTTATAACACACAATTCTGACTTTATAACACGCAATTCTGACTTTATATCTCACAATTCTGACTTTATAACACACAATTCTGACTTTATAACACGCAATTCTGACTTTATATCTCACAATTCTGACTTTATATCACGCAATTCTGACTTTATAACACGCAATTCTGACTTTATAACACGCAATTCTGACTTTATATCACGCAATTCTGACTTTATAACACACAATTCTGACTTTATAACACGCAATTCTGACTTTATATCTCACAATTCTGACTTTATATCACGCAATTCTGACTTTATATCACGCAATTCTGACTTTATAACACGCAATTCTGACTTTATAAACTGCAATTGCGACTTTATTTCAATCAATTCTGACTTTATATCTCGCAATTGTGACTTTATATCAATAAATTCTGACTTTATAACTTGCAATTCTGACTTTATATCAATAAATTCTGACTTTATATCTCGCAATTGTGACTTTATATCAATAAATTCTGACTTTATATCTCGCAATTCTGACTTTATATCAATAAATTCTGACTTTATATCTCGCAATTGTGAGATAAAAAGTCTCAATTACCTTTTTTATTTTTCATTCTGTGGCGGAAACAAGCTTCCATAGATATGAAGTATCGATACTCTAATAAAACATTTTGTAATAATGAATAAGTAACAAATAATATTTTGTAGATTTCCATGGTTACCATTACAAGTGAACTTTTTAACCATGTGTAAACAAAACAAAAAAATCGAATAAGTTTCTGTTAAGGCGTAATGAATGTTTAAATGCCTTTCAAATGTAATGTTAAGTGGGTATCATTAATACTTTTACTCTTAGTAATTCAATAATTTGAGAAATTGTTTAATTTAAAAGTTCAGTTTAGAGGGATCATATCAGCGATACTGGCCTTTAGTATCGCATCGAAAACAAAATAAGTGGAATCGCCTATCACTAATGTGTGTGTGTGTGTCTGTCTGTGTGTGTGTGTTCTGCTGTAATGTGTGTGTTCTGCTGTTTCTCCAGCTTCCTCCTCCCGGCTCCACCAAGAGGTTTAAGAAGAACAGAAAGAAGAATGGTTTTAAACATGTTGGCAAAGTAAATGGAAAATAAAAAAGTTGAACTCATTGAAATGTTTTTTTTCCTGTAAGGGATTTTCATAAATGCATGTGTTTGTGTTTGACAATATTAGAGCATTGCTATTTTAATATCGTTGAGATGCTATTATAGTTTGTATTCATAATTTGAATTTTTATATTTGTAGTTTTGAAATAATTTAAAAAAATACATTTTCTGTTTTCAATTTAATTGTTGTTTTATTAATTTTGTTGTGCTTTTATTAGTTTTGTTTTTTAATGTCTACATGTTTTTTTGTCTTTATTTGCAGTTATTTAAGTAAACTGGAAAATGAGTTTATATTTTGGAGACTTTGACTTCTAATGAACTTCGATACGCTGAACCGCCGCAAGAATGACTAATAATAGTATAACAATTAAATGATCAATCAAATGACAACTATATGACAAATGATTATAAAATGAATTCATAAAAACTAAGAGAATAAAACACAACAGATGTGTGTTTGCTCTTTTAAAGCAACACACACACACACACACACACGTTGATCCTTCACATTGAACATCAGTGTGTTTCAGCTGTTTGTCTCCTATTTATCTGATATTGTTGATTACTTGTGTATAATTACAGACACAAGCTCATGACACATGCAGCTGTTATACTAATGCACTTTATTGTGTTTGATTTATATGAGGGATATAAATAAATATTTAAAGTGTGTGTGTGTGTGTGCGTGTGACAGAGAGAGAGACACAGGTATGTGTGTGTCTGTCTGTGTGTGTGACAGAGATAGGTGTGTGTGAAATGTGAGAGAGAGAGAGTGTGTGTGTGTGTGTGTGTGTGTGTGTATGAGTGACAGAGGTGTGTGTGTGTTTGTGAGAGTGAGTGAGTTTGTGTGTGTGTGACAGAGACAGAGGTAAGGGTGTGTGTGTGCCTGTGAGAAAGAGAGAGAGAGTGTGTGTGTGTGTGTGACAGAGAGAGACAGAGGTATGTGTGTGTGAGAGAGAGAGAGTGTGTGACAGAGATACAGAGGTAAGGGTGTGTGTACCTGTGAGAAAGTGTGTGTGTGTTTGTGTGTGCCTGTGAGAGAGAGTGTGTGTGACAGAGAGACCGAGGTAAGTGTGTGAGTGTGTGTGTGTTTTAATAAATATAATTATTATTGTCTATCATTTTGAAATTATACGAAATAAAATGTATTTCAACTTAAAATAATATATAATAATCAATTTTATATTATTACAATAACTATGATTTATTAGTAATACAATAATAATAATTAATTGTATCTTTATTTTTTATAAATTTATAGTATAATGTATCTATAATGTGCTTGTTTTACTGAAATATTCTCACAACTGTAATAATATATTGGTGAAAGTCTTGATTAACTGTTTCGCCGTGCGCGCGCGCGGTTGAGTATACGTGGCTCGCGGGAGGCCAGTGTGCGCGCGCACGAGAACAGAGGTTCTTTCGTATCAGCGCGGTGCATTGTGGGACGGCGGCGGTGGAGGCCTATACAGGCAGCAGCACTTCTGAGTGTTTAATACACGTGTGTTTATATTGTTATTGTCATATATCAGTCATATCAGCGATGGGGCAGGAGGACCTGATAAGCTCGGCGGAGGACGTGGCGGATCAGGTGTCAATCATCTTTATTTATCACTGTGTGTCTGTGTGTGTGAGATTAATGTTTACTTCCAGGCGAAGTGTGTTATATGTTTTGTTAAAGCTGTGTGTGTGTGTGTGTGTTTGTGCATCAGTGACCCGGTGTAATAACACTTCGCTCCATGTTGTTTCTTTATCAGGGTTTATTAGGAATTTTCATTTTTGACGTTTGAATTAAAATGCACGTGAATGCATTGAGTAAACAGGCATATATTGGTTGCTACATGAGTTTAGAATATGCAAAAACAAAATACACATTAAATGCATGTTCGCATTATGTGTTATGAGAGGTTTCTCCAGGTCTGAAAGTTTCATATGCGTTATGAAGGATTGAGTCACAGCTGTTACTGTACTTCACTGTTACTTCACTTAGTTTTTAATCTCAGTGTTGAGAAATACTGAAACTCAGAGAATTAGATCATAACCTTCTCAAAGCACATTGTCTCTGGTTTCCTCCTGAACTCATCAAACATGACATTTCATAAGAGCTGTCAGTGATCCTCCATATGTCACCTGCTATTAAAGTGTGTCTGCACGGGTGTGTGTGTGTGTGTGTGTGTGTGTGTGTGATTCCCAGCATCTGCTCGCTTGCAAATCTGGAGTCTAAATGTGGAAAAGTGGAGTGAATCGCTGGAGGTTCAGGTTACTGTGACTGTGAGCTTCTGCTGTTATGAATATGAGATATTGATGCAACAAAACCTTAAACATCAAAGTAAGTTTCTGCTTTCATTTGGATCTTCAGAATGTGTGTTGCTAGCGTGTTGTTAGGGTGTTGCTAAGGTATTCTGAGTTGTACTAGGGTATTCCTAAGTGGTTGCTTGGGTATTCATGGATGGTTTGCTATGGTGTTTCTAAGGTATTCTGAGTTGTTACTAGGGTATTAGGCTGTTCATTGGGTATTTTGGGTGGTTGCTATGGTGTTGCTAAGGTATTCTGAGTTGTTACTAGGGTATTAGGCTGTTCTTTGGGTATTTTGGGTGGTTGCTATGGTGTTGCTAACTAAGGTATTCTGAGTTGTTACTAGGGTATTCCTGGGTGGTTGTTAGGGTGTTGCCAAAGTATTATGAGTTGTTACTAGGGTATTCCTAAGTGGTTGCTTGGGTATTCCTGTGCAGTTGTTAGGGTGTTGGTAAGGTATTTTGAGCTATTACTAGGCCTAGGGTATTCCTAAGTGGTTGCTATGATGTTGCTAGGCGGTTACTTGGGTGTCCTGGGTGGTTGCTAGGGTGTGGGTGAGTGATTTCTTCTGGGATAAAATAGGAAATATTAGAATTATCAAGTGTAATTTTAGTTGTTGTTTTTTTGTTTTAGTAATATAATGAATTAATGCTTATTTTTATATTTTAAGTTTTCATATTAATTTTTAGAAATTTGGTTGAGCTTTAAAAAAAATATATATATTGCTAAAGGTTCAAATCATTTTTATTTCAGTTTTAGTTTTTTAAATTCCAGTTAATAATTTTAGTGCTTTAACTTAAACTCATTTCAGTTTATTGCCAAGGCAACGTTTCAAATTTGTATTTAGATTTTCAACTATTATTTATGTTTTATTTTGTTAAACAGCTTTATTTCAATTAACAAATATTTTTAATTGTTTTAGTTAATGATAGTAACCAGTTGACAGCTTTTATGTAACTGTTATTTTTTTATTATTATTATTTTTAATTGTTTTGTTTGATTGTAGAGATTACATTAAATTAATTGTATACAACTAATTAAATTATTATTGATATGATGATTATTACTCCCAGTGTTGGGGAAAGTTACTTTTTTAAAGGTTAAAATATTGGATTACTCCCTACAAAAGCGAACTAATTACATTACTTGGTTACTTTTATGGAAAGTAATGCGTTACATTACATATGCGTTACTTTTTCTATCAGTGATTGGCTGCTGGCGTCTGGTCAGTGATTGGCTGCTGGCGTCTGGTCAGTGATTGGCTTCTGGTGTCTGGTCAGTGATTGGCTGCTGGCGTCTGGTCAGTGATTGGCTGCTGGCGTCTGATCAGTGATTGGCTGCTGGCGTCTGGTCAGTGATTGGCTTCTGGTGTCTGGTCAGTGATTGGCTGCTGGCGTCTGGTCAGTGATTGGCTGCTGGCGTCTGATCAGTGATTGGCTGCTGGCGTCTGGTCAGTGATTGGCTGCTGGCGTCTGGTCAGTGATTGGCTGCTGGCGTCTGGTCAGTGATTGGCTGCTGGCGTCTGGTCAGTGATTGGCTTCTGGTGTCTGGTCAGTGATTGGCTGCTGGCGTTTGATCAGTGATTGTCTGCTGGCGTCTGATCAGTGATTGGCTGCTGGCGTTTGATCAGTGATTGGCTGCTGGCGTCTGATCAGTGATTGGCTGCTGGCGTCTGGTCAGTGATTGGCTGCTGGCGTCTGATCAGTGATTGGCTGCTGGCGTCTGATCAGTGATTGGCTGCTGGCGTTTAGTCAGTCATTGGCTGCTGGCGTCTGATCAGTGATTGGCTGCTGGCGTCTGGTCAGTGATTGGCTGCTGGCGTCTGATCAGTGATTGGCTGCTGGAGTATGATCAGTGATTGGCTGCTGGCGTCTGATCAGTGATTGGCTGCTGGCGTCTGATCAGTGATTGGCTGCTGGCGTTTGATCAGTGATTTGGTGCTGGCGTCTGATCAGTGATTGGCTGCTGGCGTCTGATCAGTGATTGGCTGCTGGCGTCTGGTCAGTGATTGGCTGCTGGCGTCTGATCAGTGATTGGCTGCTGGCGTCTGATCAGTGATTGGCTGCTGGCGTCTGATCAGTGATTGGCTGCTGGCGTCTGGTCAGTGATTGGCTGCTGGCGTCTGGTCAGTGATTGGCTGCTGGCGTCTGGTCAGTGA